AACTGTCTCTACAGACACCGGGCCCAGATCCCCAACACTCAGCCTACCCTGCTGTCTGCACGCGCACAGATTCCACCTGCACTTCACTGTTCTCCCCTTCTGCCCCTCCCCCAGAGGAACACCGCTAACGTCCCTGATAATGACCAAGGGGCAAACTGTGACTTCTTCTGAGGACATCTCCCACTGTCGACATTATGCCACTGGACGCTCTATGAATTTAGTGCTTGTCTAGCGTGGGCTTTTTTTTTTTTTAAATAGAAGAGTGGGTGCTTTGTGGCCCTGTAGGTGCCTGAGGCAGCATGTCCAGCTCTCCCCTCCTGGCCCGTCCACTCCTAGGAGGCAGCATGTCCAGCTCTCCCCTCCTGGCCCGTCCACTCCTAGGAGGCAGCATGCCCAGCTCTCCCCTCCTGGCCCGTCCACTCCTAGGAGGCAGCATGTCCAGCTCTCCCCCTCCTGGCCCGTCCACTCCTAGGAGGCAGCATGTCCAGCTCTCCCCTCCTGGCCCGTCCACTCCTAGGAGGCAGCATGTCCAGTTCTCCCCTTCCTGGCCCGTCCACTCCTAGGAGGCAGCATGTCCAGCTCTCCCCTCCTGGCCCGTCCACTCCTAGGAGGCAGCATGTCCAGCTCTTCCCTCCTGGCCCGTCCACTCCTAGGAGGCAGCATGTCCAGCTCTTCCCTCCTGGCCCGTCCACTCCTAGGAGGCAGCATGTCCAGCTCTCCCCTCCTGGCCCGTCCACTCCTAGGGAAGCCCCGAGCAGTTCAGAGGAGGGGCTCTCACGCCCGCATCACTGCTCTTGCCCACAGCCCTTTCAGACCCGTGCTGACCTGGGCCATGGGGCACCCTCTCACTTCCTGTCCAGAGGAAACAGAACTCTCTCCTTTAGAAAGCAGCTGGGGCTTTGTGGAGACTCCCGTGAGCACCTGCTAGGACCCAGGAAGCAGAGAGGGCGGGTGGATGCGCATCTACGATGCTAGGAGGAGGCCAGCTGGCACGGAATGAGGGGCCACTGCGGGCCACGACTGTGACAAGTGCTTCTGAGGACTCCAGAAATAAACATCTTTGTGCTATATGGCGCCTGTCTTGGAGAAATCCATCAAGTAATCAGGGACATGTGACACAGGACTGACTAACTAGGGAACATAAAACAGCGTTAACCGTCAAATTGCTTCTCTACTGATTGAAATCTTCCATAACAGAGTCAGCACAGTTACTACAGATGAAAGACGTTGAAACAAAGCGCTTTAGCGGGAGGTGGAACTTGACAGCAACTTTGACAGTGGAGGTGTCCCTGCTGTGGGACAAGAGGATGTTTCTGTAGAAAGCACTGCATGAGCAAAGACCTCGGTTACAGATGGGCGCAGATGACTGTGGGACAGCAGCAAGTCCAGCTGGTGCCATGGAAGCTAAGTGGAAAATGCCCGTGGCTCTAACAATATTTGACCTCTCTGAGTGCCGAGCTGAAAACCCGAGAGTAGAAAGAGGGGCCTGAAGACCCCGCCTCGGAAAAGCATCACACAGAACAGTAGTGACATCATAAATAAGAGTGTCAATTGTTGAATCAACAGCAGGAGTCACTGTGCACTTGCTCCCCATGTAGGATTTCTGTCCTTAATGTGTTGAACAATGAGAATTAACGGCAAAACTAGTTTTCAAACAGTACTTTATACTTTGTGTGTCTTGTGAGTGCAAACTGTTGAAATCCTTACTTAGTATAGAGTTGATCTTCTGTATATGAAGAATTAAAAATGAATCTTAATGGAGAAAGGGATGGGAGAGGGAATAGGAGGTGGGATGGTTTCGGGGTGGGAGGGCAGGTATGCAGGGAAGAACCACCATGATCTAAAAGCTGTACTTATGAAATTTATATTTACTAAATAAAAGCTTTCTATAAATAAATAAATTAATTAATTAAAAAAAAAAAAAAACAGTAGTTGAGGCCAGAGCTGTGGCATAGTGCGTAAAGCCTCCACCTGCAGTGCTGGCAGCCCATATGGGGACCAGTTCGAATCCCAGCTGCTCCACTTCTGATCTGGCTCTCTGCTATGGCCTGGGAAAGCCGCGAAGACGGCCCAAGTCCTTCGGCCCCTGCACCCAAGTGGGAGACCTTGGAAGAAGCTTCTGGCTCCTGGCTTTCGGATCGGCCCAGCTGTGGCCATTGTGGCCATCTCGTGAGTGAACCAGCAGATGGAAGACTTCTCTCTCTTTCTCTCTGCCTCTGCCTTTCTGTAACTCTTCCTTTCAAATAAATAAAAAATAAATAAATCTTTAAAAAAAAAAAAACCAGCATTTCCAGAAAAGCAGACTCTCATATATGTCTTTCATGATGTGCATTATGTTACCAAAAATGAGACAATCAGTGATGTGTCAGAACTCACACTTATTACTTGACTATAATCACACTATTAAAGCTATGGTTGACAGAATAGGAATTTTTTTTTTTTTTTAACTCTCCCCGGGGCTCCCGCCGGCTTCTCCGGGATTTAAACTTTGAGAATAGGTTGTGATTGTTTCATTCACTTAAAACTGCGGGGTTGCGAGAGCGCCAGCTATAACACGTGCGCTCGTGCTCCACCTCCCCGGCGCGGCGGGCGAGATGGGCCGGTGGTGCGCCCTCGGCGGACTGGAAGGGCCTCGGGATCCCACCTCGGCCGACGACGGCGGGAAGCCGCCGCCGGCCAGAATAGGAATTTTTATTAAAAGATTTTTATAAATATGATGAATTAGTCAATAAGATAGTTCATCACCTAGTTTAAAAAAAAAGATTTTTTTTTTAAATTTGAGAGGCAGAGTTACAGAGAAATGGAGAGGCCAGGAGAGAGAGAGATCTTTCATCCACTGGCTTACTCCGCAAATGGCAACAACAGCTGGGGCTGAGGCACCAGCTTCACCTGGGACTCCAACATGGGTACACGGGCCCAGCACTTAGGCCATCCTGTGCTGATTTCCTAGGTGCATCACCAGGGAACTGGATGGGAAGTGGAGTGCTTATGACTCGAACTGGTGCCCATAGCAGATGCTGGCATGAAGGAAGTGGGATAATCCACTGTACCAGAGCGCCAGCCCCGCATCACCCAGTCCTAAGGAATGACGGTCGGGTCAGACCTCTCTCACACTCAGCCTCAGGGCCAGGCTGACCTGCGTGTGTCACCTGCCGGGTTAGTGTGTGTGACCCGTGTTGTGCTGACCTCCTTTCTGACACCTGCAGACTTAGTGCGACCTCAGATCTTGTAGAAGCCCAAGAGGGCTAACGAAGTACAGAAGGCGGTACAGAGATGGACAAACAAGTGGTGGCCGGGAACTCACAGAGGGAAACCACCCGGCAGCAGCTCACCGGCTGCCCCTTGCTGAATTCCTAACTTGGTGGAGATGCCACAACACCATCCGAACTCTGCACTGACGGAAAATCACCAGAGCTGGCTCAGTGGAATGACAGAGAAGCAGGGAGTCATTTCCAGAAAAAGACACAAACACCAAACTCGCGGTGTTCCTGGCCGATGATTTGTAGCAGAAAACCCTTGTAACTCGCACAACTCCGCCAAAATACAGAAGTGTGAGATGTGTGAGAAAAGCCCGGATGGGGTAGGGAGGAAGGGGGGTGAGGAGGAGCCGTGAACGGGGAGCCCGAGCAGAGCGAAGGGGAGGAGGACCAGGCTGCACGCAGACCTCTGTGAGAGCGCACGTGGGCTGCGAACGCCTGCGTCAGGAAAGCACCCGCTCCGCGCAGTCAAGTCACGGAAACGCCAGCCCCTCCGATGTCCACGCGGGACAAAGCCCGAGCAGTGCGCTGCACCCACGCCCCACGCCCTCCTGAGGGCCCTAACACGCACGTTCCTGAGGATGTGACGCTGCGAGCAGAGTCTAGAAGTTGCTGAGGTCCCTGTTCCACCCAGAAGCGTTACCAGCCACCCGCGATGACCAGTGGCCACACCACTGACCCTCAGTGACCGCCGCACCAGGACAGGGAGGCCGCTGGCTCCACATAGCCCTGCTCCTTCAGATGACCGAGTCAGGAACCGCCCGCGCACGGCTGCCACAGCTGGAGGGCGCCTGCTCCGACCGTGCACAGCCCACATCAGCGCCCCTGCCTCCAGGGACAAGGCAGAGGTGAAATGCTGACGGGTTCGCTAGCCTCCAAGAGTCCCACCAAGTGGCCACTGGGCAGCTTTCATTCCTGCCCCCAACAGCTCTTGCACTGCCAAGGCCGTGGGGAAGTTGTGCCCCGCGGTGGAACCCTGCAAAGCGCAGGAGGCCGTGGGCTACATTTCCTGAGGTGCTGGCCCTGCTGCCTTCAGGCCCCGGGTCCCCGCATTGGACTGTGGGCCAAAAGCTCTGGGAGGAGAAGAGACTGAGCTCCATAATCAAACACAGAAAGCAGCGAGCAGAAAGGGCCGCCAGACCACTGTGGGAACACGACCTTCGCTGAACAGACAGCTGCAACCAGCGTGGGGTCTCGGGCACCATCACAAACACGACTTTAAAACGGCAAGACAAGGGCCTGGGCCAATGCAGCCCACACCCGCCTCTAGCCTACAGGGTAGACCACAGGACTAGACTCGCTCACTAGCACCTGCCATAGGACGTGGGCCACCTGAGCAGGGAGGGCGGGTAGTGCCGGCAGCCGGGAGGGATCTCCGCCAACCACCCTCCACGCCTCCTGGTGGACACTGCGATCCTGACGCTGATGACAGCCAAGAACCAGTACGTCGGCACAGTTTGCAGCCATGGGCAACCCAGACAGAGCTGTCAATGGCGTCTGAAACACGGCCACAGGCCAGCTCTGTCGCGAGGAAGCATGCAGAGAGCTGCCTTCCCAGCAACCACAGACCACACGTGAACAGCCACGTGGCTCCCGTGTCTCACGGTGGAAACTAACCTTCAGAGACACGAAGGTGTGCAGTGGAACCGAATTTCAGCGCACAGAAGAAAACCCCAGATGTACACAAATGCCTCTTAAACGCTTACATTAACTAAGCGACAACTGATTGCTTAGAATCCTTACCCAGACAAAGCGATTTTGGGTGGTCCTGGAAGAGTTGAGCTGGAGGGGAACGCAGGCCCACTGAGGACTGCCGGGAGGGCTCCGTTATCCACCTGTGTGAACCAAAGGCAAGAGCCTGTGCGTTAGTGTGTGGGGTCAAGCTCCAGCCACCAGCCCCTAGGTACAGACAGAGGAGATTCTTGTCCTGCAGGTGTACGGCCCAATCCCTCTATAACCACGTCCGACCCCCATCACCACTGTGAGCCTCCTGACCGCTGAGCAGGTTCTAGGGCCAAGGCCATCAACAACCCACCTGGCCACAGGATGCCCAGGGCGGGAGAAAGCCCGCATTGTGCACACCAAGAGGACGGGAGAAGGGACGCAGGGTGACCATTGTCAAGCCAGCAAGCAGAATGCACAGCCGTCAGTCGGCTGGCCACGGAGCTTGTCACAGAACTCTCATTTTTATGAAGTACTGATTTGGAAATAAGTGACTCCCATGAGCAACTCCATAAACTGCAAATGTTCCTTAAGCATTAGTAATAACGAGCACAAGAGGTCTGCACGGGAAGATCCACTGGCAACCACTCTTTTTCATTTTTCCAGAAACTAATTTGCAGTGCTATGAGCTGAGAAGCAGTGCCATAATCACGCATCCTCCATGCCTCTGCTCCCAGTTCTCACTTCCTGTCCCTGTATCTCACGAGCACGGCTCAGAGGCTGCTCACAGGGAAACAGATGGGTCGCGAAGCGTCCCTGTCTGAGTGCTCTTCCTCTCCGAGCTGACAGTCACAGCGTTGCACACAATAGGATTAGAGATGGTTACTGTGTGAATCCCAGCGACCCACCCCATCTTTGTCGCGTCCACCGTCCAGTAGCCTTGCTTACTCCCTCTGCCCCCATCTCAAACCGTGTGTAATCACCGCTGACACGGAGGGAGGCGTCACCCTGAGGAAGTCAAACTCCCTCATTCACACAGCACAGCGCAGTCCCAGGGCTTCGCCCCAGACCCCACCTGGCCTGGCTGGGAGTCGGGAGGGAAGGGCTCACAGGGGACAGACCGGCGGCGTCTCCACTGCGGTCACCCAGACACCACCTGTTAGGTCTGTTGTGGGGAGCAACTCGGACTAGACTGTTACTGGAATTAAGACTTATTCTATGCATCTGCTCTCCCACAATATGGCGCTGGGAGAGGAGTAAACAACTTCTACACAGCTGCCTCCAGTTCGACCAATAACCTGTAGGACCTGCTCCTGATTGGAGGAGAGCAGTGTACTCGGCGTGTGGGTAGCAGAGTTGGGATTGGTGGAAGAGGACTATAAAGGAGGAAAGAGACAACATGGACCAGGAACATCTAAGGGGAACATCCGAATAACATCTGAGCAGCCCCTGAGAGAGCCGGCCGGCAGTGTGCTGCTCCCCCGCGGAAGTAGGGAAAGTGGCAGGGGGAACCGCCCTTCCACGGAGGTGGAAGGGACGGTAGCCAACCCGGGAAGAACCAGCAGCAAACCCGGGGAGGGCCGAGCAGACAAAAGAACAGCGCAGGGTCCTGTGTCGTTCCTCCACGAAGAGGGGGAGCGACAGCCTGTCTGCACTTGCCCGTCTGAGCTCTGCTCCTTCGGGAGGAGGGATTTCACAGCCCTTGGTGTTGAGGCAGTTCTTTGCACACAGTAGGTACAATTCCATTCACCCACCCCCTTGCTTACTTAGTCCCAAGGTAAAGCAGAGAGAAAGCTATGTCGTGTGGGCATGCGTTAGGTCATACGTCTGGGGCAACTTCATGGTGCAACCCCGGAGTTCCTTCAGCCACGGCTGGCACTAGGAGTGCAGAAAGTAGACTCCAAGGCGGGCCTCTCAGACCCCTGTGTTCACGATTCCCGGGAGTGTTTCAGTGCTGGGTCTGCAGCTCAGGGCGGGGGTGGGGGCGGGGGCCCTGGCCTCTCTTCAGCCTCCAGGTACCGACTGTTCTCAGGGTCTGTACCCCACGCTTTGAGCAGGGAGACTCAGAAGAGCATAGAGAATCTCTCCCTAAGTTTACTTTTCCAATAAATACAATCTTTTTAAAAAAGGAAAACTGTACATTTGTATAATTATATATATTATATGTATACTATGGTATAATCATAAGAGCAAAGATTTTTTAAGAAAAAGCATATTCATAGTAATGAGAGAGGTGAGGGATTTTCTGGACCGAGTAGGTGAGTATGTGCTGCTGGGAGGTCCACAATGGTCAAGGGCACCACCTGGGACAGCTGATCGGAAACCATGGGAATGGGCAAATCAGAGAACTGGCAAAGAGCTGTGTCTGAGGCTTACTCCAGCCTCTTATGGTGACTAACAAGGTGGTGAAAGGTCTCAACACTTGCTAAATGCTTCAAATGTTGGTTTTAACTGATTTGTTTGGCAGGCAGCAAGACAGAAAGGGACAGAGATACAGAGCTCTTATCCAGTGGCTCTTTCCCCAAATGTCCACGGAGACAATGACCAAAGCCAGGTGCAAGAAATTCAATCCACGTGACCCCATGTGGTTAGCAGGTACCCAATCATTTGAATCACCGTTGCTTCCCAGGGACTATATAAGCAGTAAGCTGGTGTCAGGAGCCAGAAATGTGTATCAGACACAGGTGTGTCAACATGCAACCTAGGTATCTTAACCACTAGGCACGTGTCCACTCCTGTTCACTTTTAAATATAGGATCAAAAATATATTTCCTGAGTAATTTCAACTGCAGCAATCAAAATTTCAAGAATGTTTAATGCCTGATAATATTCTTAAAAATCATAACAATGACTCACTTGTTATATAACGATATATGGGACTGGCAAAAATCTTCTTACTAAAGTAATTATTCGCTTAGGGACATCGCAAGGAAGACTGAAAATAAACTCATATACCATTCCTCTTCTACTTGCATGTAAAAGAAAATGTATTATAAAGTTACCATATGTGCAGGTATTTAAACTTACCTTAATTCTATTATTTTTTCCATAAAACATTTTAAGTCAATGTGTTTATTATACCCCTCACCTGGCCCCCCATTTTTTGATATGAGCTTCCAGGGATAGTCTGCTATGCTAACATATGCTGTTAGTACTCAGATTCTTTTTTTTTTTTTTTAATTTATTTGACAGAGTTAGACAGTGAGAGAGAAAGACAGAGAGGAAGGTCTTCCTTCCGTTGGTTCACCCCCCAAATGGCCGCTACAGCCAGAGCTATGCCGATCCGAAGCCAGGAGCCAGGTGCTTCCTCCTGGTCTCCCATGCGGGTGCAGGGCCCAAGCACTTGGACCATCCTCCACTGCACTCCCGGGCCACAGCAGAGAGCTGGACTGGAAGAGGAGCAACTGGGACTAGAACCTGATGCTCATATGGGATGCTGGCACTGCAGGTGGAGGATTAGCCAAGTGAGGCATGGTGCCGGCCCAGTACTCAGATTCTTAAAGTATGCACCACAGTGCACTGAGTGCCACAGCAAACTCACCAGAGTACCACTAGACAATTTTCCACGTTCAAAGTCCAATGGTGCACAAGGAACTACTTGCAAATTAGGTGTCATAGTCAAATGGTTACTAAGATGTCAGGATACAAATATTCATTATGCTATTTGAACCAAATTACTTAACAATGAAGCCTATAGGCAAAATTAAACAGTATTGATGGGGGTGGCTTCCATAGCAGCAGTGGGATGCCCACATCCCATGTCAGAGTACCTAGTTTGAGTCTCAGCCCCTCTGCTTCCAGTCCAGCTTCCTGTTTGTGCACCCTGGGAGGCAGCAACGTCAGCTCAAGTACTTGGGTCCCTGTCACCTCCATGGGAGACTTTAATCAAGTCCCAGGCTCCTGTGTTAGCTGGGCCCAGCTGGCTAAAACAGCATTTGGGGGGTGAACCAGCAGATGGACGCTCTCTCTGTGTCTCTTTGTCTCTGCCTCTCAAACAAAGCAACATACATACATACATACATACATATCCCTGAGACACTGAGAGTACTGTGGCCTGCAGCCTTCTGAATCCAAGTCAAACAGAAACATATCCTCCACTCCTGACGCACGGGCCTGCCTGCCCGTATTTCCCGCTCTTGGCTCACACTTCCGTTCAATGAGGAGACTTGGACTCAGGCAACAGAACACACTTATTTTATGGTCCTGTTTAAAGTGTACACAGTGTAGGGGCCGGCGCTGTGGTGTAGCGGGTAAAGCCACCACCTGCAGTGCTGGCGTCCAAATGGGCACCAGTTCGAGTCCCAGCTGCTCCACTTCCAATCCAGCTCTCTGCTGTGGCCTGGGAAAGCAGTAGAAGATGGCCCAAACCCCTGGGCCCCTGCATCTGGGTGGGAGACCCGGAAGAAGCTCCTGGCTCTGGCTTTGGATCAGCACAGCTCCGGCTGTTGTGACCATTTGGGGAGTGAACCCACGGATGGAAGACCTCTCTCTCTGCCTCTGCCTCTCTGTAACTCTGCCTTTCAAATAAATAAATAAATCTTAAAAAAAAAAGAAAGAAATGAATCTGGAAGTGATGTAGGGAGGATATATTAATTTTTTTTTTTTTTTACAGGCAGAGTGGACAGTGAGAGAGACAGAGAGAAAGGTCTTCCTTTGCCATTGGTTCACCCTCCAATGGCCGCCGCAGCCAGCGCACCGCGCTGATCCGATGGCAGGAGCCAGGTACTTCTCCTGGTCTCCCATGCCGGTGCAGGGCCCAAGGACTTGGGCCATCCTCCACTGCACTCCCGGGCCACAGCAGAGAGTTGGCCTGGAAGAGGAGCAACTGGGACAGAACCCGGCGCCCCGACCGGGACTAGAACCCGGTGTGCCGGCGCCACTAGGCGGAGGATAAGCCTAGTGAGCCACGGCGCCGGCTGATATATTAATTTTTTACTCCAGGTCCTTGTGTTACACAGACAATGCAGACACCTTTAAGATGCGAAAGTGCTAACAAATATTATTCAAAAGATGACAGTGAACACACATACACGCATGCGTGTGGGTTGTACCACAGAGAAATATCCATCATGAGTGGGCAGTAGGCCAAAGGATTGCTCAAAGGGAGGAAGTGGGGGGGGTAAGGAAGGAGAAACAGGGGACCTCCAGCTGTGACTGGCAGCAAAAGAGAGAAAGCCCCTCCAGTGGTTGGCCTCTTTTATTAGGTAGGGGTGGTGCCTCTACAGGTGTGAAGTCACCTGGGAATCGTATGGCACCTTCCCAAGTTCCTCATGGAGTCTCCCCTCAGATCCTGGCTGCAGTGGGTGCACCCGAGGAGAGGGGTGTTTGGTTACAAGTAGGAGGACAGAATTACATACGGGGGCTTGAGACTTCTAGCTCAGCAGATCTAAACTAACTACTTGCCCACGTATCCCACAGCAGAAGCGTCTATTTTGTTCCATTCTTAGCTCACTAGGATGGGTTAGGAAGTTTGCCAACTGCCTGATAACCTGCTTCTTCATTTTAGATACCAAGCCAAACATTCACTTACCCCTCACATGGCCACAGGACACAGTTTGTTAATTTACTTTGTCCTTGACTGTAGATACTTATTCTGGTCTTGATACTGAGGAAACAAAGTGCCTTCAGCCTCTTCTGCCAGCACTGTCCACACACAGCCTCTGCGTACCACTTCCGACTGACATTATCACCTAAAATGGAAAAACAATGACCACGCTGCACTTACAGCAGATCACTCCAGTGAAATGCACCGCAATAAATGTAAGTCTGAAGTTCGTTTTAATCCAGACTTTAAGATTTAATGGAAAATGGGAAGCTACAGGTATGTTCTGGATTCCTCACTCTGGAATGACATACTCTCTGGAGCTAGTGCAGGGCAAAAACCTCCCGAAAACATTTCCTGAGACGTCTAATGTGCTAACAGACGTTCATGCGTGTGGCTCGCTGACACTGGGACGTTCCAGAATGTGAGACACACAAGAGGGTGCTGCGGTGCTAAGCCCAACCCTCCCCACCCCGTTCAGTAAGAGGCTGCCCTGCACCTGAACCATGTCCATGTCTGGACGTCCACTTAGAGTACTCTTCACTACACTTCTTCCTTCCTACCACAGACGTGTATCAGTTACCATGTAGATAACAGGCAGAGTTAGACAGTGAGGGAGGAGACAGAGAGAAAGGTCTTCCTTCCGTTGGTTCACCCCCCAAATGGCTGCCGCAGCCGGCGTGCTGTGCCGATCCAAAGCCAGGAACCAGGTGCTTCCTCCTGGTCTCCATGCAGGTGCAGGGCCCAAGCACTTGGGCCATCCTCCACTGCCTTCCTGGGCCACAGCAGAGAGCTGGACTGGAAGAAGAGCAACCGGGACAGAATCCGGCGCCCCGACTGGGACTAGAACCCGGGGTGCCAGCGCCACAGGCAGAGGATTAGCCTAGTGAGTCGCAGTGCCGGCCAAACTGGAAAATCTTAAGAAGCCATGTCCATCTCTCAGGGCCTATCACTGTCCATTTCTGTGCTAGGATTCTAATAACGAATAAAACCTCAGCAGCTGGGTGAGTCTGTCTTCAATCCCTTAGGTCAAGGAAATGCATCGAGGGAGCTCCCTGTGTGCCCAGCTCCCGTCCAGGCCAAGCCGTATGGACACAGATGCAGAGAGGCCGTGGTCTCTGCCTGCACACAGCCTCCAGTTCTGATGACAAAACCTCAGCACCTGAGAGGTTGTGGTCTCTGCCTGCACACAGCCTCCAGTTCTGACGACAAACCTCAGCACCTGAGAGGTTGTGGTCTCTGCCTGCACACAGCCTCCAGTTCTGACGACAAACCTCAGCACCTGAGAGGTTGTGGTCTCTGCCTGCACACAGCCTCCAGTTCTGACGACAAACCTCAGCACCTGAGAGGTTGTGGTCTCTGCCTGCACACAGCCTCCAGTTCTGACGACAAACCTCAGCACCTGAGAGGTTGTGGTCTCTGCCTGCACACAGCCTCCAGTTCTGACGACAAACCTCAGCACCTGAGAGGTTGTGGTCTCTGCCTGCACACAGCCTCCAGTTCTGACGACAAACCTCAGCACCTGAGAGGTTGTGGTCTCTGCCTGCACACAGCCTCCAGTTCTGACGACAAACCTCAGCACCTGAGAGGTTGTGGTTTCCGCCCTTAAGTTGCTTATGCTCTTACTAGGAAACCCAAATAGGCATAAAGGACCAAGCTACCAAAGCAGACGCAGACAGACTATTACGGTAGCAAGGTGCAGGCCATCGGGTCAGGGCGTCTGGTCACCCGGCCACTTGCTGGGAACCCGGTATCCGTGTTCCGGGAGAACTCGATTTGCATCTGGAGAGAAAGTTGCAGCTACCGAACACGAGACCACACTGGGGGCGAGACTCCGAGTGCCACTCCAGAACGTTCTGTAGTGCACACACCTGGGCTCCTCCCTCTGGGCTGGGCTAACGCCACTCTCCAGTCTAGGGGCCATCTTCTACTGCTTTCCCAGGCCACAACAGAGAGCTGGATCGGAAGTGGAGCAGCCGGGGCTCAAACCGGCACCCAATACGGGATGCCTGCACTGCAGACGGTGGCTTTACCTGCTACACAACAGCGCCAGCCCCATGATCTGGAGATTTTTAAAAGGTTATTTCAAAATGTAAATCAAGGAAATTGGCAGATGGAAAGCATCACAAGTATAGAAATGTGCACTTGGTAAGAAAGAGTTTTTTGAATAAAGGACAAGGTTTCTAAGAATGACTTTATCCTGATGGCTAGTTTACTCTAGACTGAATGGAAATGATGGAATGTTTCAGGTCAATTGAAGAGGGTGTGTGGAAGTCACAGAAGGTTATGAAAGAAAGACATTTTTGGAAAAATAAGCTATGAATCTATTTCTCTTTGACATAGAATTAGAATCTGATCCTCTGTTAAAGCAATGAGTCACAGTGATCTGTTATGTTCTCTCAATGTATCTGTTAGGGCCTATCCTTTAAAGAGCTCAGTTCTTATTATTAAGAGTTATGATTTGTTTAAATAGATGCTTATTCTAAAACATTTGAATAACCACCTTGTAACAGTGATCAAATCAGGTCTACGTTATGTCATCATGTTAAGGGAGCTTATTTTAACCAGATATTTTAAGCCTTCTTGGCATCCTTGACAGGCATTCAAAAAAATCCATAATTTGGACTTTGAAATTTCCAGTAAATTTGGACTTTTATTTTTCTAGTTCGGGCCCAACCAGAAATATCACAGGATATATGTCTCTCATCTTGTAGAGACACCAACTAATCAGGCTATTTGGATTATGCTAGGAGTACTGTTAAGATGTGAAGTGGTAATAAATTTTAAGCTTTGATAATATAAAATGCTACTGATACAAATGTCTGAAAGCTAAGTCTAATGACCTGGTGTTACTAGACGTGATGGTTTTCTTAATGAGAAAGGCCCAGTGGCCTAAAAGGGTTAAAATGTTCAAATGTTCTGTAAAACCCTACAGTAAGCAAGTGCCTCATGTTGATTAATGAGTTTAAGGTTTTAAACATGACTATTTAGAGTCATCCACGGTTCTGTACAGGTTCTGATGGACTTTTTTCAGCCACTTCCATTGTATTCAGTACTTTGGGATGGCTCTGTAAACAAATGAAGCCAATAGTGCACTACAGGTTCCAACTGAAAGAAAGTATGGTTAATTCCGCTTACTAGGAGCAGACAGTAATCTGAATCAATTGGTAATTAAAAAAAATAGTTAAAGAGTTTAAGAAGCTATTACTGAAACTACTTTATTATTCTATCTTGTATGTTATGTTACATATGTGCACATATTGTATGTCTACATGGGAAAATTTATTAAAAACTCTGTTTCAATTGGCTTATAGATAAAAGATTGCTCATAAATTTAAACTGCAAAAATTAATCAAAGATATATTTTGATTCATGTGACCTGAATCTCTGTATCAGATGTTTTAAATCTGTTGGTAGAAAGAAACTAAAAATGTTTTTATATGTTTGTGCTTGAATTTGCTGGTTAAACAAGCTACACCACGTTAGATATTTAAGAGATGTTTCCAAATACATGTATTCTTAAAAATTATAGAAGGCATTGGCTCTTCCGGTGAATGTTATCCTAAGTTGTTACCTAATGGTTGAAGTCGCTTGCTAAGTTTTCATTTGATACTGCTATTGTCAGTGAGCGACCTGGGACTTGCTCCCTCGTTCCTCTCTTCCAAGCACGACTTTTCCCTTCATTTCTCTATTCTCTTCGAGGTGCGAAATGACTATGCTGAATGAAGGACTCTAGGACACACAAGTTGATCTTTAGACCTTATAAAAGGGATGGCTAACATTTTCTGTAATAGCATAGCCGAAAGGAGAGCTTAAATTACAACTTCACAGCTAGATTTACTTCGCCATGGGCACAGTACACAGGCAGAACCTCCCTTTCAGATCAAACAAAGGGAGAGAAAGTTTTAAAGTGAGGACATGGCTTTCCTCAAAGGCATTGTCTACCTCAGAATAAACCACTCGGGGCCGGCACTGTGGTGTAGCGGGTGAAGCCTCCACTTGAACGCCATGGGCGCCGCTGCTCCACTTCCCATCCAGCTCTCTGCTGTGGCCTGGGACAGCAGTGGAGGGTGGCCTAGGTCCTCGGGCCCCTGCACCCACATGGGAGACCAGGAGGAAGCTCCTGGCCCCTGGCTTTGGACTGGCGTAACTCAAGGCCATTGCGGCCAATTGGGGAGTAAACCAGTGGATGGAAGACCTCTCTCTCTCTCTCTCTCTCTCTCTCTGCCTCTCCTTCTCTCTCTCTATAACTCTGGCTTTCAAATAAATAAATAAATCTTTAAAAAAAAAAAAAAAAAGACCAGAACATGCCTGTGACTGCAGACTTCTAGTTTAGGCCACTGAAGATTAGAGATGGGACTTGAGCACCCCCTGGACTTGCATCCTTCGGTCTGCTTTAAAAAAAAAAAAAAAAAGGAGGAAAGGAAAACCAGGCATCGGAAGCAACGTAAAGGTAGGTGGCAGGCCTATGACAGGTGGCTCTGTGCAGTGCTCTGCCCTCAAGGAGACCCAACAGGCCAGGCCACTGCAGTGGTTTTCGACATGGAAATCTAGGGCTTCAGCAGAAGGCAGCTTATAAAGAGCCCTGGCAGCTCTGCCAGCCAAGACTGGATCACTGGACATGGACCTGCCCTGGAGCCGAAGGACCCCTAGGTCAGAGCCACAGACCTCGCTGGCTCTCAGCTGAAAAGCCCTTCACCAGCGGGGAGGTGATGGCCGAGTAGGCTCAGCAACACAGCAGGCAGAGCTGTAGACTTCCTGTTGGAGATGCCACCTGCCTTCACCCGGCCAGCTCCCCTCCCAGGCCAGCTCGGTAACGGAAGTCAACCGGTGCCTTCCCCGGAGGTTCTCACTTCCCCAAGTGCTGCTACAGGGGTAGACTCGGTCCCCGCCCAGGAGGCAGCGGCTTGAGACACCGCCCATGCCAGCAGAGTACCTCGGCGCCCCATGCCGGCAGGAAGCAGCTATAGGACAGATCACCGCCCCTCTACCCGTCCTGGACATTTGGGGCTGATGTGATCCCGTACAGCTCCTGCTTTGTAAAAAACAAAAGGGGGGAATGTCAGTAAAATGGCACAGTCTTATCTGTGGCGCAATCTACACCCCAACACCACCCTAGGCTCTAGCCCCCGCCGCCCCTGCTGGAAGCCAGGTGGCCCCAGGGCCCAACCACCGGTGCCAAGCTCCACCCCCACCCTAATGGGATTCGCTGCTCCTGCTTCCCTGCCCGCCCCCTCAACGTTTTGACCATTCCTGAACAGGTGACTTGCTCCATCTCATGATCTCTCACTCTCGCCCTCTCCCCCGTCTCCTGATCTCTCTCGCTCTCTCCCTGTCTCTCGCTCTCTCCCTCTCCCCCGTCTCCTGATCTCTCTCCCTCTCTCCCCGTCTCTGGATCTCTCTCGCTCTCGCCCTCTCCCCCTGTCTCTGGATCTCTCTCCCTCTCTCCCCCTGTCTCTGGATATCTCTCCCTCTCCCCCTGTCTCTGGATCTCTCTCCCTCTCCCCCTGTCTCTGGATCTCTCTCGCTCTCTCCCTCTCTCCCCCTGTCTCTGGATCTCTCTCCCTCTCCCCCTGTCTCTGGATCTCTCTCGCTCTCTCCCTCTCTCCCCCTGTCTCTGGATCTCTCTCCCTCTCCCCCTGTCTCTGGATCTCTCTCGCTCTCTCCCTCTCTCCCCCGTCTCTGGATCTCTCTCCCTCTCTCCCCCGTCTCTCGCTCTCTCCCTCTCCCCCTGTCTCTGGATCTCTCTTACACTCTGCTTCTCCCTCTTTTCCTTCTTCGCCCCTTGCCTTGGGTCTGTCGGGTGCCCCCAGTAAGCCCTCCCCCTTACTCCAGTGTTCTGTGTGCTTCGGGGCGCCCTGCACGCTGCCCCCCGGGCAGAGGTCCGGGGCAGCGCCACTTTCAAGGAGCAGCCCCCTCCCTCAGCGCCTCCCCCTCGCTGGGGCTCCTACACTAGGGCGTGGACCAGGGGACAAGGAGCTGGGACAAGGCCCCGCCTCACCCGGCTGGGGACTCTGAGGACCCAACTCTTCCCCCCGGAGCCTTGGGGATGTGCTGGGACGTGGAGCTGGCGCCATTCCGGACTGAGAAGGGGCCCTTTGGGTCCCGGCCCGTGCCCCGCTCTGCAGCCCCTACCGCCGCCGAGCTGCGGCCCGCTGACCCGGTCCCAGGGCCGGCTGACCCGGTCCCGGGCCGGCTGTGCGCGGCCTTCTAGCTCATTCTCAACCGGTCTGCGAGCTGCGGCGGCGCGGCCTCTGCTCGAAGACTTATCGCTTGATTGTCACCGAGTTCCAGGGTGGCCCTGCCCGGACCCGCCAGAGCAAAGTGACCGAAAGGAACCAGTGCGAGCCGGGCAGCCGCCAGCGCCTAAGCCATGCCGGGCACGAGGTCCACGCCGGCCAGGCCGACGTGACCGGGCCAGGCTGAACACCGGGCACTCACGGGCCCAGCCTCTAGTCCGGGGAGGAGGGGACGCAAACGCTCCGCAGACCCGGGCTCGCACCGGAAGGAGCCCTGGGAACCGGCCCCGGCGTCCCGACCTCGGACCCGGGCCCGCGGGGCACCCCTGGGCGGCCTCGGCTCCCCGCGGGCCGGTCACGCGAGACGGCAGCTCCGGCGGGAGCCCCGGGCCCCACGCCCTCACCGCGCGGCGCTCGGGGGCCTCGGGACGCGGGCCGGGCTCCGCTGTCCCGCAGAGGACATCTGCGACTGCCCCGGGGACCTTCAGGCCCGCGCCGGCCGCCGGACCCGAGCCGAGCTCCGGGCTCGCGAGTTCTCCTCAGACGGCCGCGGCGGGGCGGCCCCGTGCAGCGCGGAGGGGCGGGGCCGGGGCGGAGCCTGCGGGAGGGGCGGGGCCGGGGCGGGGCCTGCGGGAGGGGCCTCGGGTGAGTGAGGCGGAGTCCGCAGGCGGGGCCTCGGGTGAGTGAGGCGGGGTCCGTAGGCGGTTGGGGTCTGCGAAGGGGGCGGGGCCGCGGGTGCACGGGGCCTGGGGCTCCTGCTGGCCTGGGCAGCAGCACTCAGGGCTCAGCCTATGGCAGATCGGGCTCAGGCAGGGGCCCCGAGGCAGCAGCAGGCGCGCGCCTCGGGTGACAGAGGGCCAGGGGCTGGCACCTGCACATCCCAACCTTGTACGCCCTTCTGCCCTTGGTGCCCGAGCTTGTGAATGGGCACCTGAGCACGCCCAGCTCCTGGTCAAACACAAACAAGCCCAGGGGCTGGTGCGGCGGCCTCCTAGGTAAGCCTCCGCTGCGGCGCCGGCATCGCATATGGGTGTCCAGCTCTCTGCTGTGGCCTGGGAAAGCAGTGGAGGATGGCCCCAGTCCTTGGGCCCCTGCACCCACGTGGGAGACCCGGAAGAAGCTCCTGGCTCCTGGCGTTGGATCTGCTCACCTCCGGGCCTTTCCACCATCTGGGGAGTGAACCAGCAGATGGAAGACCTCTCTCTCTCTCTGCCTCTCTGTAACTCTACCTTTCAAATACAATAATTTAAAACAAACAAGACTACCTTGGTGCAATGCTTGAAATCCACTCCTCCTTTAGCCATACGGATTTCCCTCCAGCTTTTTGAAGACCCTGCCACCCTCTCAGTCCAAATACAACTAAATCCTCAGCCTCTGTGTGAGGGTGAGCGAAACCCATCTCTCATAGACCCAGAGGCCAACAGCTGTTCCCACTTTGTAATCGAGAGAGAACAGCTTAGCATGATGGCCCAACCTGCCTGGGAGCCCAGCCAGAGCACAGAGTTCCAGGGACAGCAGAGGGGCTCAGAGCTCACCCTAGTCCTACGTGCAGCTTGGGCAAAATAAAACACTGGTTTTCTAATCGCAAGGGTGAGTAACAGGGGCTGCTGAGCTGTGGGGGGCAGAGTTCAAACGACCCCCAGGCTCTCACCGGTTGTCAGCTCTGGGCTGCAAGGACACGCATTCGAGCGGCACGGCCAGCACGTGCTTGCTAGACCTAAGAGCGGACCCGGAAGGGCGCTCTGCACTGAATTCTTGCTGTGGGGATGCTCCCGCCGCGGGCCACAGCCGAGCCACCACACCCGACCTGAAACGCAGCCCACCCCGTGGTCGAGGTCCAGCCCCGTGGGGCAGGAACACACGGGCCCCACTTCCTCCTCCGCAGGGCGGGGCCCACGGAAAGCACGCCCAGCGCCCACTTCAGGTGACAGCCGGACGCCCCCCTCACGGATGTACCTGACACGGACCCCACAGAAACCCTGAGCTCCCGAGCCCAGCCCTCCCGCTGCCTCGTCAGCCTTCCCTGCGGGGCCCAGGGGCAGGGCTGTGCCGGGGCCCCGTCTGTTCATGGCTGGATGACCGCTCGTGACTGCTGAGTGCGGGCAGGCCCGAGCTGCCTGCTTTGCGTCCACAAGACGCAGGACGCAGCCAGAGCCCACGTGAGCAGCCTCAGGCCCTGAGACACCGGCCCGCGGGGCTGGACCTTCCTTCATTCCCCATCAGCCACTGCTTTCTTCTTAAGAAAATGACTGACTGACTGACTGACTGTCGGAGGAGCAGAGATCTCGCATCGGCTTCGGGGAGGCACCAGGCCCCCGCGCACATCCATCTGTGATCGCCAGGCCGGTCAGCATCAAGCCTCGAGCCCTGTACCCGCTGTCCCTTGGCGCTCTGGCGCTGCACCGGGGGCCAACGTGGCTCAGCCTGGTCACCGAGCTCAAACCCTCTGTAGATCAGCCTCCGTCCGGGGCCAGTGACTCCTCCCCACCCCCGCCCGCGGTCCCCCAGACCACTAAGACAAACTCCTGGGAGGCCTGTCCCGCCGCCACCGCCAGGACTGGGACTCTGCTGCATGGCAGCGCCTGGACCAGGGGGAAGACGTGGGCTCCTGCTCTCGTTCAGCACGTCTACCGAGTGTCGACCGAGCGCCAACCCCGTGCCAGGCGCCGTCCCACGAATGCGGAAGTCCACGGCAGTCAATGCAGGAGCCTAGCGACAGCACGCCGCCTGCCCCGACACCTTGCCCGTCTGGGTCTCTCAGGCTGTCCAAGTGCCCCTGCGGCACCTGGCCGCGCGACCCCGTAGGAGGATATCGAGACAGACAGACGAAGGCTGTGGTGGGCAGGACTGCTTTACTAATGGTGACCCACGTCCGCACTGTGCATCTCAGATGTAAATGGTATGTACAGGCCACGGACAGACCGGGGCAGGATTCCAGTCACGGCTGCGTTAAGGCTGCGGCTGCGTCCTTACACCCTCCAGCTGTACAACAGGAACGCGTTCTGCTGCCTCTGACGGAGCAGAACACGGCACGGACGACCGCACAGATGAACATCACACTGGAAACACGGAGAACCGAGAGGGAAGCACTAGCACGTCTACACCCCAGTGCACGCGGGGCCGAGGGTGACACACGGGGCCGGGGAGGCGCCTCCTTCACGGGGCTCCTGGCTCTCATGGCTGCCGCTCCGCCCCATCAGGGCTTCCCGCTCTGCTGCTTCTGCTTAGCTGCCCTCTGGGGCTGCTCTTCTCAGTTCCTGCTGGTAGGAGGACAAGACCTGCGCCCAGCGAGGAGGCAGTTCCCGTCACACAGCGAACATCAACGGGCCTGCCTGCCTTCTCCCGCGAGCGTCTTCCTTCAATGGCTCCGACAGCTCGGCCCTGGCAGAGGGGCACAGAAATACTGCGCGCCTGGAGGCCGCGGGGCTGCACCTGCACCGCAGGGAGGTGACTCAGGGCGCGCAGCTCACGCGCAGGCAGACGCTCTCGTGGAGGGCTGGTGCCTGGAGGACGCGCCGCGTCCGCCCCGCACCCGTCACGGCCACACGCGGCTCTGCCACAGCACGGCCCAGCGCCCTGTGTCCACTGCTCCCGCTCCTTGGAAAGGAGAGGGGGCTTCCCTCCGACCAGGTGGGATGAGAAAGTGAACCACTGGCCACGGTGTGGTTGCCCTTCCCTGGCCCAGCCTCGTGGCCAGCGTCTTGTCCTCTTGACCGTGGTGTGGAGAGGCAGTGACCGTGAGCACCGTCGTATTGACTCGTCAGTGGCTTCTCCAGACAGCTCAGCGGCCATCACATCCCTGCCTGTCCCCCCTGCGGCTCGGGGAGCACGGGAAGCCCGTCCAGTGGCCCCAGCAGCGCCGGCCCGGAGGGCTCTGCTCTTTCTAGGCGTGGGGAGGTCGTGGCAAATGCTTCGCAGAGTGACCCACACTCAAAGTCGAGGGGAGCGACCCACCCCCGATGCCAGCCCGAGGCCTCCCCAGGGAAGTCACCCAGCGGCCCTTCCATGCAGGGCAGTTCATTCTAAGGCACTGCGTTTGGAGGACAAGCGAGCGAGGTCAAGGGCACTAGAGCCGCGGCCTGGGGGGGACACAGCCTGGAACAGACCAGGCAGCAGCTCTGGTGACAACCGCCTGGCTCCAGAGTGCGGCGTGTCCGGTTCGTGCGTCCGTGTGTTAGCGTGAGTTCCCCGCTGCGACCTGAACACCCTTTCCTTTGACAAAAGCAGTGCCCGCTGCCTGGATGCCGTGGCGGGCTCGCGTCACCTCTGTGGTCGCCGTCCCCATGTCCAGTGTGCGTGCAGTGCCGGGACGCCACAGGCTGCCGCCTCCCTGCCCGGGCGCATGCCCGGGAGCAGGGCTGCAGCCACGCGGTGGCGCCTGCCGTCTAGGGAAACAAGCGACAGCTCCTCTCTGGAGGAGACGGGGTTTTCTAGGAGCACTGAGCCGTCCTGGACGGGGGCAGGGTCGAGACCTAAGTTTCGCTTGGCCGTACCACAGGGCCCGCGCTGCCTCCCCGCTCAGGGACTCGGCTACTTCCTGGAGTTGGACCTGAGCCCGAACAAGGCGATGATGTCCATCATTGCCTGCTTCACGTGCCTCCCAAAGCGGTGAGAATCCTGCGACAGAAAACGAGACTCGTGAAACGCGGGCCCCCAGCGTTTCAAGTCCTTGTACGTGGAATCTGACAAGGAGTTCAATTAAAAACGTCTTGTTGCCAACTTTTTAAGCTGTGGTTGGTGCCTACTCATCAACTTAGACATTTTGGAGAAATACAGGAATGATAGAAACCGCAGTTTAAATTCTTTAATTATATTTAGAAGTTTAACTGAAAAGTGGAGTGTGGGGAGCAACTCGGACTAGACTAAGTTACTGGAATTAAGACTTATTCTATGCATCTGCTCTCCCACAATATGGCGCTGAGAAGGGAGTAACAGCTTCTACACAGCTGCCTCCAGTTCAACCAATAAACAGCAGGACCTGCTCCTGATTGGAGGAGAGCAGCGTGCTCGGCGTGTGGGTAGCAGAGTTGGGATTGGCGGAAGAGGACTATAAAGGAGGAGAGAGACAACATGCACCAGGAACATCTAAGAGGAACATCTATCTGAAGAACACCTGTGCAGCCCCCGAGAGAGCCGGCCGGCGGTGTGCCGCTCCCCCGCGGAAGTGGGGAAAGTGGCAGGGGGAGCCGCCCTTCCACGGAGGTGGAAGGACAGCAGCCAACCCGGGAAGGGCCGAGCAGACAAAAGAACAGCGCAGAGTTCTGTGTTGTTCCTCCACGAAGAGGGGGAGCAACAGTGGAGGACAGAGTTTTCATCTGTTGTTTGATTCCTTCAGACTCATGAGCTAGGACTTCACTCTGGTTCTCCTGTGTGTGGCAGGGACCCAAGTACTTGAGCCATCTCCTGCTGCCTCCTGGGAGTACATTAACAGGAAGCTGGACTAGGACAGCAGAGCCAGGACGTGGACCCAGCGGTGCAGCCTCCCAACAAGGTTGACCCATTGCACCGATGGCACCCTGCGCAAGACCACAGTGTGTGTCGAGTGGGGTGTTTGCATCTGAGGCTTCTCCCAAGGTCATAAATGCATCAAGTGAACCCTGAGCAAACGAGTGCCAGTTCTGTTGTCTGCAGTGACTTAGCATGCCTGGCAGGCGGAGCACAGTGTGGGAAGGAGACTACGAACCAGGACTGAACGTGCGAGTAGGAGCCCACAGCTGCACCCACCCAGGCCCCAGGATCCCGGTCCACGGCGCACGTCAACCTCCTGGTGTGTGCACACTATTCCTGGTCCACATTCCAAGTGTTGTAGATTTTGAAAGTTCCAATGCAGCCCACCATTAAGATTTAGAACCACTGCCTCCAGCAAACATCAATATGTTAAACCAAATAAGGTCTGTTTCATTAAGAGATGAAGAGAATTTTTAAACTCATGTATTGGTAAGGGAATAGACAACTGAATTAAAAATTTCTGTCAAATGAAAGATGTGCTCCTGTCGCTCCCCCTCTTCGTGGAGGAACGACACAGGACCCTGCGCTGTTCTTTTGTCTGCTCGGCCCTCCCCGGGTCTGCTGCTGGTTCTTCCCGGGTTGGCTACCGACCCTTCCACCTCCGTGGAAGGGCGGTTCCCCCTGCCACTTTCCCCACTTCCGCGGGGGAGCGGCACACCGCCGGCCGGCTCTCTCGGGGGCTGCACAGGTGTTCCTTCAGATAGATGTTCCCCTTAGATGTTCCTGGTGCATGTTGTCTCTCTCCTCCTTTATAGTCCTCTTCCACCAATCCCAACTCTGCTACCCACACGCCGAGCACGCTGCTCTCCTCCAATCAGGAGCAGGTCCTGCTGTTTATTGGTTGAACTGGAGGCAGCTGAGTAGAAGCTGTTTCCTCCTCTCCCAGCGCCATATTGTGGGAGAGCAGATGCATAGAATAAGTCTTAATTCCAGTAACTTAGTCTAGTCCGAGTTGCTCCCCACATGCTCCCTTAAAAAGAAAAAGGAAAAGTAACCCTTCTTTAGAAAAAGGAACTTCTTCGCCTACTTACCGTCTCGGGGCTGGAGAACTTGGAGGAAATATGGAAACTGATGAGGTTCTCTCCCACGATAATGTACGACACACCATAGCCGTCATCCGCAACCTACAGAACCATCAAGGTTAAGTTATTGTTGGTAAACGACATGATGTGAAAAAGGGACTTCCTGATACTCTACACACAAGACTCCCATTGACGTCTGTACAGTCCGTATGGACGGCTGCGTCACGGTGCACCAACAGGTACGGGGCCCTTGAAGCCAAGGCCGGCCTGCAGTGGGACGACGGGTGTGGCTCGTCTGTGAACACTGACACCCAGGGCACTTACCGGTCCGAAGCCCCCTCCGCTGGACACGTACTCCGGGTTCTTGTTGAAGTCAAACAGCCCCACGTGTTGCAGAGGCGTCTGGCTTGTTGACAGCCTCCATGGCTCAGCCAACACCTGGTCAAGTGGGAAACAACGCTGAAGGACACTTTCACTAGGGAGGGCGAGAAAAGGCCCAGCTGGTCCTGTGACTGCTGCAGACCCTTGCGGGCCTCACTGGCTGAGGGCAGAGCCCTGCAGAGGCTGTGAGGTGGGGAGGGCATTGGCCTTGGTGGGCTCAACACCAACAAGCACCAGCTGAGACAGGGAAGGAGGCAGATAAGCCGTTCAGCAGGGCAGGGAGGTGGCTGTTGTTTTCAGGGATCGTCCAGGTCATTATGCAAATTAAATGCTGTAAACATAAAATTAAGTAAATTATACTAAAAATAGCATGATAAACACCCAGGGCACACCACTTCTTATTTTCACACTTCTGTACAAAGAGCTCGAGTTTAGAGGTATCTGTTGAATCAGGGGCTGAGCCTGCCAGCACACACCTCCAGGGACTGACGACAAGCGGCGCCCGCGCTGCAGACGCACGTCCCGCCCCGCAGCCCACACACCCGTTTCCAGGCGCCAGGCGGCAGGCCTGCACTCGTGCTAAGCCCACCAGTGGACGAGGGAGCCGCCCCGGGAAGCGGCCTCACCTCCTTCAGGAACGGGGACTCGACCGCGAGGTACTTGGACACCACGTAGAGGCAGAAGAGGTGCCGGTCGATCCCGGCGCCGGTCATGGCGAGGCGGTACAGGTGCTGGTGCTTCTCAGACGCCAGCCTGAACAGGCGGAGCCTCTGTTCCACCTGCGCGGCAAAGGGGGCCCGCACAGTCAGCCAGGCCACGTGGCCGACGTTCCTGGGGAAGGGGGCAGGTGCTTGCTGGGCAGGGGTGCAGGCACCTGGGGCCTCCTGACGTCACACAGGGGGTGGCTGCCCCGGCCCAGACTGGCGCCTGCAGTGGGGGGGGGGGGGGTCTCCACACAGAGGGGCAGGTCTCTGGGGAAGCACGCCGGGGTCGCTGTGTGCCGGCTGGCCCCACGTCAGTTCACCCGACACACACACGGTCACACAGCGGGTGGCAGAGCGCACGCTGCCCCGGCTCCCGGTCTGCACGCGGAGTTCTGTCCTCTCGCTCACGACCGCGTCACCCTGGGCCGTGACCGCCCCTGCGGAGAGGTCTGGCCCAGGAGGCTCCTAGAGCTGGGCTTCCGGGCCTCTGAAATCCGCCCTGAGTGGCTGCTCCAGGTTCTCCGGGCTCGGTGCTGGAATCGCACCAGGGTGCGCGGTGCCCTCAGGGGCGGTCTGTGGCCGCCTGCCCCGTGCCCACCTGCTCCTCAAGGCTGTCTTTGGAAAGCCACACCAGAGCCACCAGCCACGACACTGCTGACCTCTTCCAGAGGAACGGGGAGCCTCTCCTGACCAGAGTGCCCCACGGAAGAGACCCTGCCCGGGCTGGGGTCGGGGGCCCAGGCACGAGCGGACCTCTGCCACGTACTAGGGGCGTGGCCAGCAGTCCGCCGGCCTTACTCTGAGTCTGTTTCTTCCTGCATGAACAGGAGGCGATAACACGTCACAGGCTGGCGCTGGGATTTCAACAGGCAGCGTGCAGAAGCCCCTCGCCCGAGCCTGGCACCCACGGCCCCGCGGTGGCAACAGCCTGCCGAGGCCAGGAGGAAGGCTGCTGCGTGAGCCACTCTTCCTCACCCTCACGCCGACCGCTCCACTGCTCTGCTTCTTCTTCTTCTTTTTTTTTTTTTTTTTTATATATTATATTTATTTGTTTGAAAGGTAGCGTAATGGAGAGAGGAGGGAAAGAGGAGTGAGGGGAGAGACAGAGACAGAGAGAGAGAGAGCAAGATCTACCATCTGCTTATTCACTTCCCAAATGGCCACAAGAGCAGGCCCTGGGCCAGGAGCCAGGAACTCCGTCCGGGTCTCCCACATGGGTGCGGGGCCCAAGCACCTGGGCCGTCCTCCACTGCTTTCCCAGGTGCACTAGCAGGGAGCTGATTTGGAGTGGAGCAGCTGGGTTTGAACCAGGGCTCCTTCGGGATGCAGTGTTCACCTGCCATGCCACAATGCTGGCCCCCAGCGCCACTCCGCTATAGCATCTGCCTGCTGTCCCTCTGCCCACATGTTGTGTCTGATTCTATTGTAAAGACTTTCAGGAAACACAATCTGATTTCCAGAAGCATAGTATACAACACTGATCTCTCGTTTCTTAAAAATAGTTATTTAAAGACTGAGGGACAGAGGGAGTGAGAAGGACAGCAAAAGAAATCTTCCATCTGCTGCTTTACTCCCCAAATGCCTGCAAAAGCTGGAGTTTGGTCAGGCTGAAGCCAGGAGCCTGGAACTCCACACATGTCCCTTACTTAGGGATAAGGCACCCAAATACTCGGGCCATCATCCACTGCACCCCAGGCCTATCTGCAGGAAGCTAGATTGGGAGCGGAGCAGCTGAGCCTCGAACACTGATACGTGCGTCCCGTTAACAGCTTACCCTGCTTTGCAAGAATGCCTGCCTGTGCTACACTGATCTCTGTCCTGTCCCCCTGTGTTACACTGATCTCTGTCCTGTCCCCCTGTGTTACACTGATGTCTGTCCTGTCCCCCTGTGTTACACTGACCTCTGTCCTGTCCCCCTGTGTTACACTGACCTCTCCTGTCCCTCCTGTGTTACACTGACCTCTCCTGTCCCTCCTGTGTTACACTGATGTCTGTCCTGTCCCCCTGTGTTACACTGACGTCTGTCCTGTCCCCCTGTGTTACACTGATCTCTCCTGTCCCCCTGTGTTACACTGATCTCTGTCCTGTCCCCCTGTGTTACACTGACGTCTGTCCTGTCCCCCTGTGTTACACTGACGTCTGTCCTGTCCCCCTGTGTTACACTGACCTCTGTCCTGTCCCCCTGTGTTACACTGATGTCTGTCCTGTCCCTCCTGTGTCACACTGATGTCTGTCCTGTCCCCCTGTGTTACACTGACGTCTGTCCTGTCCCCCTGTGTTACACTGATCTCTGTCCTGTCCCTCCTGTGTTACACTGACGTCTGTCCTGTCCCCCTGTGTTACACTGATGTCTGTCCTGTCCCTGTGTTACACTGATCTCTGTCCTGTCCCCCTGTGTTACACTGACCTCTGTCCTGTCCCCCTGTGTTACACTGACCTCTGTCCTGTCCCCCCTGTGTTACACTGATCTCTGTCCTGTCCCCCTGTGTTACACTGATCTCTGTCCTGTCCCCCTGTGTTACACTGATGTCTGTCCTGTCCCTCCTGTGTCACACTGACCTCTGTCCTGTCCCCCTGTGTTACACTGATCTCTGTCCTGTCCCTCCTGTGTTACACTGATGTCTGTCCTGTCCTCCTGTGTTACACTGATCTCTGTCCTGTCCCCCTGTGTTACACTGACGTCTGTCCTGTCCCCCTGTGTTACACTGATGTCTGTCCTGTCCCCCTGTGTTACACTGATGTCTGTCCTGTCCTCCTGTGTTACACTGATCTCTGTCCTGTCCCCCTGTGTTACACTGATCTCTGTCCTGTCCCTGTGTTACACTGACGTCTGTCCTGTCCCTCCTGTGTTACACTGATCTCTGTCCTGTCCTCCTGTGTTACACTGACCTCTGTCCTGCCCCTCCTGTGTTACACTGATCTCTGTCCTGTCCCCCCTGTGTTACACTGATCTCTGTCCTGTCCCCCTGTGTTACACTGATCTCTGTCCTGTCCCCCTGTGTTACACTGACGTCTGTCCTGTCCCCCTGTGTTACACTGACCTCTGTCCTGTCCCCCCTGTGTTACACTGATCTCTGTCCTGTCCCCCCTATGTTACACTGATGTCTGTCCTGTCCCCCTGTGTTACACTGACCTCTGTCCTGTCCCTCCTGTGTTACACTGATCTCTGTCCTGTCCTCCTGTGTTACACTGACATCTGTCCTGTCCCCCTGTGTTACACTGATGTCTGTCCTGTCCCCCTGTGTTACACTGATCTCTGTCCTGTCCCTCTTGTGTTACACTGATCTCTGTCCTGTCCCCCTGTGTTACACTGATCTCTGTCCTGTCCCCCTGTGTTACACTGATGTCTGTCCTGTCTCCCCTGTGTTACACTGATCTCTGTCTGTCCCCCTGTGTTACACTGATCTCTGTCCTGTCCCCCTGTGTTACACTGATCTCTGTCCTGTCCCCCCTGTGTTACACTGATCTCTGTCCTGTCCCCCCTATGTTACACTGACATCTGTCCTGTCCCTCCTGTGTTACACTGATCTCTGTCCTGTCCATGCTGTTCGCCTAAAGGGTGGAGGGAAGTTGATGCGGGGGGAGGAGAGGTCATGATGAAGGCACAGGGGCCGCACCGCTCCCCCACAGCCCTCAGGAGAGGCAGGGAGGCGCTGTGTGTTACCGTCTGGGTGGGGTCCACCATGGCCAGCACGAAGTTGCAGGACTCGGTGGTGCAGGAGCGCACGGTCTCCGTCCTCCCCTCCCGGAAGAGCCGGGTCATGGAGGCCTCGTAGGTGAGGCAGAACTTGCCCATGTCCTGGGGAAGGAAGAGGACGTCAGTACAGGGCCAGGCAGGCGGACAGGGCTGAGGCAGAGGGTGACTGGCTGGGCTGGCGAGGGCTTCATTGCATCTTTGTTTCAGTTGTGTCTGGACGCACACCTGCTTACGTGGCAGCAGGCAGGCACGGCATTGGCTTTTGAGTAGGCAGGGATCAGTCTCTGGGTGACCCAGGTTTCCCCTTCGGGTGCAGCGATACCATGACAGCTTCCTGGATCTGCCCCTCATGCATCCCTCCTCGCTCAGCTATCCCTGGGCAAATCTCCTCACGGAAGGAGCACAGCGCACATGCAGATCCGCACGCAACAGTGGAAGTGGGCTGAGGACACAAAGCACTGACGAGTCCCCATCGTGTGTGCATGGTGGGGCGCCAACCCAGTGGAGGCAAGCTGCTTCAGCCGGGGGGCGGGATTTGTGTGGGGCAGGAGGAGCAGCCACGGAGGGGCTGGCACCAGCAGACAGAAGGCCCCCAGAAAGCTCTGGTTCCTGAACACAGGAAAGGTCAGGAGCTCGGAGCAGGAAGCCCACACCACAGCAGGGGTGCGGGTTCAGGCAGAACCACAGGAAGCCCAGCGAACTGGCTGAGTTGGGTCTGAGTGGTGCCACCTGCAAAGCTTTGTACCAATACAGCTGGCACTTGGCCACCCTTGCAAAAAAGGATGTTGGAATGAGTGACTCTGATTTACATTTTTATCAGATCATATAAATGGATCAATCATTTTTAACAAATGCGGTGTTGCATAAATAACTGACCTTGGGGAACGGGGCCCCATTGTTTCTAGCCAGAGGCCAAAGAATAGGCACAAGCACCAGTATATTAAAACAAATGATCCTGAACTTTCAAAAGTAGCGTGAGCTCCTTGAGTGTAACTTAAATGCACGCCTTTGCAAAGTCACAGAAAGCTGTAAGGAGCACAGATCCATCACCACGGCGCCCCAGTTAACATCACATCCATCCTCTGTAGACACTGCACAGAATAGAGCAGGAGGCACAGCCTTTGCTGTAAAACGCAGGTAGTAAACATGACGGGCTTGAAAGGCCACACAGCCTCTGTGCCGCCTTCTCACTCTGCCGCGGCAGCTGGAAACAGCCACCGACAGTAAGTGAACACAGGAGTGTGGCTGTCCCACAGTGCTTTGCTGATGCCCAAGTAGACCACACAGTACTGGAGCTGTCCTCATCCGGGCCATGCTTCAGGCCTTCCACGCCCACTGGACAGCCAGCCTTGGGCGTGTGCGCGGGGCCGCCAGAGTGCTCGCTGCCCAGAGCCGGCTCGTGGCCTCACCCTGTAGTGAGCGAGCTGGAGCACAAGCTGCACGAAGGCGTCCGGGCTCGTCCGGCACTTCTTGATCAGCCCTTTGCCGAAGCTGTCGAACGGGAAGGAGTGGAGGTCCACGTCGTGTGCCAGGAGCGCCGCGCTGCTCAAGGACGTCTCTATCACCTCTTGACACTGAGAGGAGAGACAGGCGTCACTCGGGGGAGGAAGGTTCACTGGGGCACACCCAGCAGGCAATGGCAGCTGGCTTCAGTAAGTTAGCAAGACGGTGCTGTCCCCCAGCCCAGGAGCTGTGGGGCGACCCCAGAAGTGGGGACTGATAAAACCCCACAGCTACTGCAGACAACCATGCATCCTGTCTTATGAAGCTTTTGTTGTGTACCGTGTAATCGAGGGATCCATTTTTAAAATAAAGAACCGCCACGTCACGAAGTGTCATTTAGTACTAAGAGAGAAATGCACTATGAAGCCATGAAAAGACACAGAGGAAATTTAAAGGGCGGTTAGTAAGTGAGCGAAGCCACTCTGGAAAAGCTGCATATGGTGCGATGCCGACTCTGACAAGGGAAAAGCTAGGGAGACAGTGAAAGATGAGCTCCGGAGGCAGCGAGGGAGGAGGGATGAGCAGGCGGCGCACAGAGGGTTTCCAGTGCAGGGAAACCATCCTGCATGCGGTCTAACAGTGAGCAAATGTCACTGTACATTTTTCAATTCATCTACAAACCCAGAGAATGGGTAATTCCAGGAGAAACTGTAATGTGCTCCATGGACTTGGTGATAGTGCCGTTCACACAGGTTCACTGTTGCAACGAATGTGCCTCTCTGGAGAGGCTCTGGTAGGGGAGGGGCACAGAGGGGTGGGAGAACGAGGCGTATGGGAAGTCTCCGTCCCTTGTGTTCAAGTTTACTGTGAATCTAAAACTGCTGTAAAACACAAAGTCTATTAACAGTTTTTAAAATAAACAGTAAGTGACTTGGTCAGTGACAAGGATCCAAAGCTAACATGGTCTGGCAGATGAACCTCTCTGTGGATCAGGACTGCAAGAGAAGCAGAATCAATCGGGTAAGACCACAGCACTGAAACAGGACTTCACTGAACCAAAGATTATTTCTTGGACCCCAGGAATTCCTCCTTGCATGAGATAGAACTGGGTAGTTGGGTTATTCCAACCCAAAAATCCTTCCCAGAAGGAATCCTAATGAGCAAGTTATGTTTGAGAATCCTTATGAAAAACAAAAATAAACTATTTTAAGTTTTTAAAATTATAAATTAGGGCTGGCATTGTGGTATAGCTGGCAAACCACTGCTTGCGACATAGGCATTCCATATCTGAGTGCTGACTGGAGTCCTGGCTTCTCCACTTTTTTTTTAAAGTTTTTATTATTTATTTATTTGAGAGACAGAGTTATAGACAGAGAGAGGGAGAGAGGGAGAGAAAGGTCTTTCATCCACTGGTTCACTCAGCCACAACAGCAGGAGCTGGGCCGATTTGAAGCCAAGAGCCAGGAGCTTCCTCCGGGTCTTCCCACGTGGGTGCAGGGGCCCAAGGACTGGGCCATTTTCTGCTGCTTTCCCAGGCCACAGCAGAGAGCTGCATGGGAAGGGGAGCAGCTGAGAGTTGAAATGGCGCCCATTCGGAATGCTGGCACTGCAGGCGGCAGCTTTACCTGCTACGCTACAGCACTGGCTCCTTGGCCAAAAGTTTTAAATGGAAGTAAAAAACATTGACTAAAGTTTCCAAGGCAGCATGAGCCATGGCAGTTGCACGGTCCTAGTAAAATTCCCTGGGCAAACGTTTTCGGTTCCTGCGACTGACTTCAGCTGAGCTGTGATATTCAGGGACACATTCGGAATACCAGGTTCTAAGAGTTCCTGCCCTAGTCATCGCCACGGCTCGATCCCCTGGACTCACCTCCTCCGGGATGTCCCACTGCAGCCTGGTGGGGTACGCAATGCCGGGGTTGGTGTCCCCCTTGCAGTGTCCGTCCTCCGTGTAGCCCAGCTGGAAGCAGTCGGTGGCCACGATTTTCTGTCAGGAGTACAGGTCGCCATGGTTAGGCCCTGTGACCACTACCGCAGACAGCGCTGCGTCAGTCCGTGTCTACTCCAGAGGGAGACACCGTGTAGAGTTCACCATCACGGCTCACTCACTGCGCGCTTACAGAACACACGGCACTTCTGTCCTCTGCAGACCCTGACGAGGTGGGACTCAGCTCCACTCCGGAGGAGAGAGATGACACGGGAGGGGTCAGCACCTGGCTGAAGACCACACGGCTCGCGAGGCGCACAGCCAGGATGCACACTCAAAGTGTCAGCCGCAAACTCACAACAGGAAGCCCCGGGGCCCGGCTCCAGGCCAGGGCCTCCCTGGTGCTGCCACGCCCTTGACTTTCCTGTGTCACCTGTGTGGTACTAACTGCCACGCCCACGTGAGGACAGCAGACAATGGTCACAGAGATGCAGGCCCAGACAGAGCAGGGGCTCTCCTCCACCGGCGGAAACCTAAGCCGACTCCTAGGACAGGGCTCCCGGGGCACCTGAGCAGCGCCAGTGACATCCAAGCACGAGTGACAGAACAGACAAGGATGTTGCCCTTCCCCAGTGACGTGAAATGAAGAGAGGTTCCCACAGAGACCGACACAGAAGTTCACAGCAGCAGCATGCAGACCACCTCAGTGCCTGCCAGCTGATGCAGATAAGCTACGGTGTGTCCACACGACGCAGTGCCGTTCAGCACAGAAAGGAACGAAGCACTAGTGTGTCTTACAGCACGCACCTGGGAAACAGTTTGCTAAGGAAAAGAGAGACTGAGCCGCCCACTGGCGGGGTTTCCAGTGAAGGTGGCAGAGGCAGTGACGAGCTCATTGTAGAGGTACCCGGGAGCCGGGAAGCAGACAGCAAGGCTGGGCCAAGGCAGTCTCGGGATTATCTTCTCAGGACCCCCCTCCTTACACCGGGAGTGGATTCACTTCCTACCCTCTTAGCGGCATTAAATCACTTCAGGGTTAAAACATCCGCCTGAGTTTGAGGTCAAATCATATTCAAACCACAGCAGAGAGGATGACAGGAACTTGGAGGGATTTACATAACTGCTATTTTTAAAAATTAAGATTATGTTTAGGTAAAAGGGATGCTGCCTTTTCATAAACCAAGATTTTCATACTCCTGTTTCTATTTAACCTAAAACTTAGTAAGCAGGACAAACTTGAAGGGATAGATCACTTCTGAATGAACTGTTTCAGTTTTCCCTCTGAGTCACAGTCTGACAATTGACTGCTATTTCATTATTTTGTTCCATAACAGGATGGCATTAGAGGTGCTGTTACTTAGGGAAGCCAAGTTAGAAGAAACAAAGAATGCTTTAAATTTAGTGCTTTGTACATAGTACCAGTACATGTTAAAGATGTGAATTATGCAACTAGACAAATATTACAAAATTAAATTTAGTTTGGGGGAGCCAGGGCTGGCACTGTGGTGTAGTGGGCCAAGCCTCTGCCTTTGGAACCAGCATCCCATATGGGCACTGGTTCAAGTCCCAGCTGCTCCTCTTCCAATCCAGCTCTCTGCTATGGCCTGGGAAGGCAGTAGAAGATGACCCAAGCCCTTGGGCCCCTGCACCCACGTGGGAGACCCAGAAGAAGCTCCCGGCTCCTGGCTTCAGGTCAGTGCAGCTCCGGCCGTTGTGGCCATCTGGGGAGTGAACCCGCGGATGGAGAGTTACAGTCTGTCTGTAACCTTACCTCTCAGATAAATAAATAAAAATATAATCCTTTAAAAACACTTCATATGGGGTTTGGATTTTGCAAAGCAGTTTCCACATTCAAGTTACAACTCAGACACTCACCTCCCAGAAGTGGATGACAATAGGCCCATCTGCCCAGGAGTGCTCTGCATTGATGCCTATCTTGCCGTTTTTGAAGATGATAAATGTGAATGACTTGTCAAACCACCTACGAAACAAACATGTTAATGGAACCGAAATGGCAAAATAACCAAGAACTCCACGGGAGCTCCATTCTGGATGGGCTGAGCTGACGGCGTCACCGCCGCCCTCTAAAGCTGGCAGTGCCGCTGAACCTCTGTGGGAGTGTGGATGGCAGGCTAAGTACTCCCTGCTTCCCTGCCTCAGACACACGAGGGCTGGTCCGTCCTGAGCCAGGGAGCAGGACAGGGCACACCGTCCTCAGCAGACCCCGTCGGGCCCTGCAGGGGGCAGCCCTCCCTTGGCAGATGAGGAAGAGGGGGCTGCAGGAGAGCAGCAGCCTCACCGCAGGCGCAGGGCCGGCAAGCAGAGCCAGAGCCGACGCCCAGGCCAGGTGCACACCCAGCCCCACACACCACCCGCTCCCCCGGGGCCAGGGGACCAGCGGCACCAGGACCCGCTAGCATCCCCACTCAGAGGGTCACTCGCACTCGCAGGGAGGGTCTCCAGCTGGGTGTGACGGTTTTGGCGGAGGAAGAAAAGGCTAAGGACTACTTGGAGGCCGGCGTTGTCCTCAGCACGCAGACACCGAGGGTGGCGTCACCCACGCACGGCCTTGCTCCCAGGCCACCGTCCAGCCGAAGGTCAGGGCCTCACCTGTCGAAACACCTGCCGTGCAGGAGAGACTTGGCGTAGCTGTCCATGGAGGTCTCTGGGTCTTCCTTTCTGTACCCTTGCTCGGTGTCATCTAACGTCACGAAGAACGCCGCTCTCTCGATGGCATCCAGAGACTGCTTGTTCTTCCCACGTCCAAAATAGGCCTTGCGGCACCTGGCCCAGGGCACTCTGCAGAGAGGATTAAATGCAGGTCACCCGGCCGGCCCTGCGGCTACGCGGTGACAGCTGCCTGCAGGTGACGTCTGGACGGCACAGCGCAGCCGCTACACATTTCCAGCCATTCCCTGCAGGCGAACGTCTTATCCGTGACTTTCTTATCTGACGCTGTCTCACGGCTGCTCCAAGAGGCCTCCTGTTCTGCTGCTCCCGACAGAGCCCAGAGCGTGGCCGTGCTTCTTGTTCAGTCAGTGCTGAATGAAGGGACGGCCAGCACGCAGACTGCACTGAGGGTGCACCTGCCGGGGAGCGGCAGAGCCAGGGCCCAGTGGGCGCCTCCACACCCATCCCGCCCCTCACCCCCCAGCCCCGCCAAGCCCACAGCTGCACGGGAAGCATCCCGAGTGGGCGCCGGCAGAAGTCACAGCAAACGGGAGAGCGCTTCGCCGGTGCCGGGTGACCCCGCAGTCTTCCCAACGCTGCCACGCCCATCGTTCCGATCAGGGAACTGAAGTCACAGCTATTCTGTGGGGAGGAGGCATCCAGGCCAGGCCCCCCAGGCCCCTTTCCTGACGCCCCTGCGCCCCCCGCCAGGCTCCTCTCAGGACCTAACAGTGATCACGCTGCGGGAGCCCAGGAGCGCTTGGCCCTGAACGCCGCCGCCCTGCAGACATGGGGCAGGGTCTGCAGACTCTTCCAGTGGTCACAACCAGGTCACCACTGGCATCCGGGTACAGGCTAGGAACACGGCTCACCACCCGCCCCACCCAGCCACAATTATGTGGCCCCATTGTATACAGCGCCCAGGGCAAGAAAGGCCGCGGGGCTCGCAGGGCCACATCCTCGCGTCATCAGAACCTCTGTGACTCTCGTTCAGAGGCAAGGACACCGACCCTCACACAGGGGCCTCGGCTGGCGGTTCTGGCTCCTATCAAATTGACCCACCACCTGCGCAAAGCCTGACTCTGCTCTTCGCTGTGAGGTCACTGCCTGCACGTATCAGCCGGTCACACACAGAGACGGCCAAAGCACCCCCTGCATCCCGGCTGTTCTTGCGACCCCCCAGGCCTGGGGCGGGACCTGCTGCCACAGAACCAGGCACCGCACGCACGGGTACCCGTCCTGCTCGGGTGTTCCCGCAGGTCCTGACGGGGCCGGACCCCGGGGAAGGGAGGGCTGGGGGCCCCCGGGCACCTGTCGGCTGCGGTGAGGGCCGCCAGCTTCTCCTCCCCGGCCTGGGGCTCCGAGGGGTCGTCCAGGATCCGCTGCATCTGCTGCTCCATCTCGCGGGGCCGCAGCAGCCTCCCGTCGTGGTACAGCCAGACCTTGAAGTAGCGCCCCCTGTGGTACACGACGATGTGCCTGCTGTCCTGGATGTGCTGCAGGGTGTCTGGGGCACGGGGGTGGGGGGGAGACACAGTCCAGGGTCACGGCCACGGCGGCACCCCGGGCTGTGAACGGCCGCGAGTCCTGACCCCGCGTTACCCTCGGTGTAATGCGCCCACGCCCGAGCCTCCTTCAAGCACCGAGCACACAGCGGTCGAGCACTTCGCCATCTCACAGGTCTGGCTCCTCCCCTCAGCCTGGCCGCTCAGTGGGTGCAGGATCTGGGCAGCCACTCAACCCTGACTAAGCCTCCATTTTCCCATCAATTTTTTTTTTAATTTTTATTTATTTGAAAGACAAAGTTACAGAGAGAGGTAGAGACAGAGAGGTCTTCCATCCACTGGTTATTCTCCAGATGACCGTAAAGGCTGGAGCTGCACGGATCCGAAGCCAGGAGCCAGGAGCTTCTGGGTCTCCCACGCGGGTGCAGGGGCCCAAGCACTTGGGCCATCTTCTACTGCTTTCCCAGGCCGTAGCAGAGAGCTGGATTGGAAGTGGAGCAGCTGGGACTAGAACTGACGCCCATATGGGATGCTGGCACTTCATGCCAGGGTTTTAACCTGCTGTGCCACAGTGCTGGCTCCAATTTTCCCATCTATAAAATGGTGTGGTTGTACTAGAATTAAAACAATTTCCAGGGGCAGGCTTCCTGGTGTAGTGGGTAAAGCCGCCACCTGCAGTGCTAGCAACCCCTATGGCCGCCGGTTCGAGTCTGGGCTGCTGTACTTCTGACCCAGCTCTCTGTTATGGCCTGGGAAAGCAGCAGAGGATGGCCCAAGTCCTTGGGTCCCTGCACCCACATGGGAAGACCCGGAGGAGGCTCCTGGCTCCTGGCTTCGGATCAGCGCAGCTCCGGCCATCGTGGCCAACTGGAGAATGAACCAGTGGACGGAAGACCTCTCTCTCTCTCTCTGCCTCTCCTTCTCTCTCTGTGTAACTCTGACTTTCAAATAAGTAGATAAATCTTTAAAAAAAAAACAATATCCGTAAATCTCATAGATAGTAAGCATTCAAATGGGGCAGTTAGTTTTTACTGATTCATTACCACTGGAAAGCTTAGAAGATATTCTCTGAAAGGGAAATGGAGAACAGCTCAAAAGAACAAAGGTTGTTGGGTAAAAATTACTAAAACAGACAGAAACTTCAGGCAGCTTCAACACGGCATGAAGAAATAAATATATTTCACAAATATGCATCCAACGTCTTCTCAAGTGCCATTCAGTGTAGGGCACGCAGTGACGGCCTAACAAGACAGCGGCTCACGGGGAAGGCAGGAGAAGCTGGACAGCACATGGCAATGGGACCAGCCTCGCCCAGGGATGAGAGAGGACCCACTGCCACCCCGCAGGAAGTGGCCTTTAAGAAGGACCCAGCTACAGAAGGCCCAAACACATCAGCATCCATCTTCAAAACGTCTACCAAAGTAGAGACAGAGGACTTACTTATGCTGCTAAGGGGTTTCTACAGAAAGTTGGAGCAAACATGCATTTGAAACCTTCGATTTAAATCAGAACCAAAACAAGAAATTCACACCATCACACCACGACCACTTACAGGGAACCTTTTACCTGAGATCCTGGGTGGGGCAGTAAGACAGGGAAAAACAAACCAAGGGTAAGGATCTGGAAGGGAACTACTGAAGTGTTTAAATGAGCAAGAACGCAGCTGGACAGAGTCATCTGTCGAGGTCGGCTGCACTCTCACAGCCCAGTACGGGCTAACCCGCTCCCTGAAATGGAGAGGTGAGGGCCTAGCCTCCAGTATTTCAGAAGTGACCTTATGTAGACACTGGCCCTTCAGCAAGGCCAGAAAGGCGGGTTAATGTCACCCAACCGTGTCCTTATACAAAGGGACGAGGACTCAGAGACACAGAGGTCGGCCACGTGCGGACACGGAGAGACGGCCATCTGCAGAGTCGAGGAGAGAAGCCTCAGGAGGAAGCGACCTGCTAAGACAGCCTCCAGAGAGTCGGCGTCTGCTGTGGAAGCTGTCCAGTCTGTGGTATTCCTTACGGCGGCCACAGAAAGCAAATACACTCAGTAGCCAACAACTTGAAAAGAACAACAGAACAACAAGGCAGCTGAGCATAACTCTAACAGGCGGCGAGTGAGATCTTTACAGAGAACAGTGCGACTGTTAGGGAAAAAAGATGCCCCAGCCCCCAACTCAAATGAAAGCATACATCTGGCTGGGACTGTTTTCCCCACTGAGGCCTCTGCAGGAATTCTTCATACCCTCTTCTCAGAGCACCACCCACTTCCCTCCAACCTGACAGCTTCCCGCCTGGACGACACACAGCTTTCCCCTGGCTGGCTCATGGACACAGAGGCAGGCCACTGTCACCAGGCCCAGAAAACACAAGTGTGGTGGAATGAGAAGGCCATGCCAAGGTGGCCACTGGCAAGTGCACGTCAGTTACTCAGGAATGGCTTTGAAACCCACCTGGCAATGGAGCCTGCCTGGCAACAGGCTGTGATTGGATGGCTTTGGAAACTGCCTGGCAACAGGCTGTGATTGGTTGGGGCATAGACCGCCCCTTGACCAGATTGGCTGGTCTTGGCTATATAAGATGTTGTACCAACTGAAATAAACGAGTCTTCGGGCTGCTCCCCTCAAGCCTGCTTTCACCCGACTCCTGGGGTCTGTGTGGTGACTCCGAGCCTCTTGCAACGTTGTTGAGAAATCAACTGCAACACACAAGTGTCCTCATATAGTGGCTGCTACTTCTTGAAACACAGCTCTTTGGGGCTGTTACATCTTTTCTTTTCTTTTTAAAAAAGATTTATTTATCCATTTGAAAGCCAGAGTCACAGACAGAGGAGAGGCAGAGAGAGAGAGAGAGAGAGAGAGAGAGAGAGAGAGAGATACCTTCCATCAACTGTCTGTAATGGCCAGGGCTGGGCCAGTTCATTCCCCAAAAGGCCACAATGGCCAGGGCCAGGCCAGGCCAAAGACAGGAGCCAGGAGCTTCATCCAGGTCCCCAGTGTGGTTGCAGAGGCCCAAGTGCTTGGGTTACCCTCCAGTGTTTTCCCTGGTGCACCGGCAGGGAGCCGGATTGGAAGTGGAGCAGCCAGGACTTGAACTGGCATCCGAATGGTATGCCAGAGTTACAGGTGGTATGGCTTAGCCTGCTACACCACAATGCCGGCCCCCTGGGGGCTGTTTCTTCCTGGGGCATAGCCCTTCACAGCTCTTCCTGTGAGGCAAAACTGTGTGTGTCTTCTCCCCAGCCCCTCCAGAGCTGCTGCTGCTTAAGGCACAGCACTTCCTCCATAAAGTAAAACTTGGCCGATAAATTATTGCTAAACCAGTCTTGCTTGCCCATGTACCTTGGCTCACAGAATATCTGTCAATAACATGTTATTAAATAATCCAAGGGGCTGGTGCTGTGCCGCAGCAGGTAAAGCTGCCGCCTGCGGTGCCAACATCCCATATGGGCACCAGTTCGAGTCCCAGCTGCTCCTCTTCATGTCCAGCTCTCTGCTATGGCCTGGGAAAGCAGTGGAAGATGGCCCAAGTCCTTGGGCCCCTGCACCTGTGTGGGAACCTGGAAGAAGCTCCTGGCTCCTGGCTTCAGATTGGCCCAGCTCCAGCTGTCAAGGCCATCTGGGGCGTGAACCAGCAGATGGAAGATCTCTCTCTCTCGATCTCTCTCTCTCTCTCTCTCTCTCCTTCTCTCTTTCTCCCCCCTCTCTGTAACTATGCCTTTCAAATATATAAATAATTATATAAAAATATGAAATAATCCAAATGAGGACCAGCACTACGGCGTAGTGGGTAAAGCTGCTGCCTGTAATGCTGGTATCCCATATAGGCACAGAGTCCCGGCTGCTCCACTTCCCATCCAGCTCCCTGCTAATGTGCCTGGGAAAGCAGTGGAGGATGGCCCAAGTGCTTGGGCCCCTGCACCCACGTGGGAGACCTGGAGGAAGCTCCTGGCCCCTGGCTTCAGCCCAGCCCAGCCCCAGCTGTTGCAGCCATCTGGGGAGTGAACCAGTAGATAGAAGATCTTCCTGCCTCTGCTATAATTCTGCCTTTCAAATAAATAAGTACATTTTAAACAAATATGTTGCAATGATGACAGTTTTCCTATTTATGAATTTCAAAGCAATTCCAAAAAGCTAGTTTCATGGAATTGAAGTTAATCTTAAACTGCATGTGGAAGAGAAAAAAGGCCAAGACAGTCTTGAAGAAGCAAGGATTTGCTTTAGCAAACACCAAGATTTCTGGGCAACTTTAACAGATGGGACAAAATGGCCTCAGGAAAAAATAAAAATCTTAGACTAGAAAAGAGCACAGTGCCCAGGCCCCGTGCACAGAGCAGGGGAGGGCGGCTGGTCACTCTGCCCGGGGCTGGGACAGTGCACGGTGAGGCCCCTGACCACTGCCACACAAGACGCTGGCCAGGGCCCACAGTGTGGAAGGCCTGGACTATAACACTGCGTTTAGAAAGCTGGATCAGTTCAGAGCCTTTTACAAGCCTCACAAGCTGTTACACGAGCGAAAGCCCTCTCGGGAATCCAGAAGACAAAGGAATATTCTAAGCAGTCCTAGAAAAGCGCTCTAAAGGACACATTTCAATTGAAGATAAATGAAGATCTGGAGTCAGGTCCATTGCCGCAGCCCAATAAAGAAAACATGACTGAAGGAACGTCTGGCAGCCCCACCACTGAGGAGAGGCGGGCGAGGCCCTCACCCCTGCGGCCCTCCTCCATCCCAGTTCTGAGCGGGAGAGCTCCCTGGCGCGGAGCCCCGAGGAAGCCTCACTCACCGGCCTCCTCTCCCGGGATGCGGGAGGTGTTAAACATGCGCTCCCACTGAGCGGAGCAGAGGGGGACGGTGGCTCCCAGCAGAATCTGCGATAAAAAGACGTTTTAAACCAGCGAACAAACATAAAAATCCTACACGGTGAAAGAAAGAATGAATTAACCCACACACATTAAAGTGCTGCACTTGTTTCTCCTCACGCTGCGTGGTCTGACTTAATCTTTTCCAGTCGCCCCAGGGTGGATCCCGAGGGGTGGCTGGGCCGGGCCAGGGTATGGCTTCCTGCCCGTTTACTTCCTCCTGAGTCACACGGCCTCACTGGGCATGTATAAAGTGACACTGAGGGCGCAGGGTATTCCAGGAGGAAACGCCTGTCCCTCTGAGTTGCTCGTTAGCATACCCCTCTCCTTCAGAGACAAACAAGGGTTTCCGGGAAGGACAGGGCAGAATGGAAGCACAACAGGTGTACGTCCATTAGCACTCACTACGATCAGTCTCCACCTCATCACGCCACGGGACAGGAACAAACAAAACCAAGCCCGACCGCGCCCACCCTGTGCGGACATTCACGTGAGGCTGTGAACCGGCCCAGGAATCTGGAGCCCAGGAAAGCAGAGGGCAGCAGGGCTGGGCGGGGGGCCGGGAAGGGGCAAGGGGACCCCTGGGCGAGGGACGGCCTCACGGGCCTGAGCATGGTGGTGGTTTCGGGGTGGATAGATAGATACGTCAGAAGGTATTAAACTGTAAACCGTACATCTTCTGTGGGCAATATGTAAATTATACCTCAATGAAGCTGACTTATAGAACTGTTTTAAAAGGTGTTCGCTTACTGGTTTGATCTTCTCCTGGTCCAGTTCACGTCTGTAGAGCAGGATGGCGTGGATGGTGTTGCCAGCTCTTGCTGCCTGAATGTGACTTGGTGTGAGGTACAGCAGATCCTGAAAGTACAGGGCAGCAGAGAAAATGCCGCGAGGAGACACAGCCTCATCCAACTGCACTAGCGCGTCGCCACACTGCTGCAGTTTCTGCGGCTGTATCTGGTAACATGTGCTGTGACACAAAGTGGACGAGGACTGAACTCTCTATAACAGGGGAGTCTAACCCACAAAACTGTTCCACAAGAACACAGTCCCCATGTATTCCTGGGCTAGTAAAGATGACAGTAGACAGGGGCCAGCGCTGTGGCGCAGCAGGTTAACACTCTGGCCTGAAGCACCAGCATCCCATATGGGCACCGGTTCAAGACCTGGCTGCTCTACTTCCGATCCAGCTCTCTGCTGTGGCCTGGGAAAGCAGTAGAAGATGGCCCAAGTGCTTGGGTTCCTGTACCCACATGGGAGACCTGGAGAAAGCTCCTGGCGTTGGATCAGCACAGCTCCGGCCGTTGTGGACAGTTGGGGAGTAAACTATCAGATGGAAGACCTTTCTCTCTGCCTCTCCTCTCTCTCTGTATAACTCTGACTTTCAAGGAAATAAATAAATCTTTTAAAAAAATGACAGTATTTTCCCCAAATGACCTTGTATAAATGTACAGAAAGAAAAGCATAACTATAAGCCAGGTGATGATTAGCTAATTAGGAAGTTTCTGAATATTAAGTGACCAAAAATACAACAGTCTTTTATCCACAGCTGTGCCAGCACTGTCTAAATTTGGAGACACAGTTCTAAACATCTCCATTTTCCACAACTGGAAGAGAAGATGGAAAAACGCATATTTGGGAAAAGCCCATGTGCACGGCGAGTGCCTGGCGAGGGAGGGAAGGGCCTCTCTCTGTGGGTCTGTGGCTGCACACACGCGTCCCCAGGGGGAAGGGCCTCGGGCGCGGCTCAGGCCGGCGCAGGGAATCAGTCCCGAGCCCCAGCTGACTGTCTCCCAGGCTGCAACTGTTTTACGTGGAAAAAGGACCTTGACAAGGAGGAGCCTGAAGTGGAGTAAGACTGCAGGAAAAAGCAGCTGATGCTACTGAGGACACAGGGAGGTGGAGAGAAGAGAGCAGATGGCCAGGATCGGACTGGCCAGTCACCACACAGGGCCACGACGCTTCCTAACCGCCCTGTTCAGATGACAAAGAAAGGCCGAGACCCAGGGCAGCAACCACGCACGACCCTCGCGTCTGAGCCCGTACGTGAGGGGCCGAGCGCACAGGGCACATTCGTGGCTGGCCCACGTGCCCTCGCTCCAGGGGCTGGGGCCTCGTTCGGCTGCGGAGCACTGAGTCACGGCACTAAGTCAGGAAACAGCAGGGCAGGGGTGCAGCCGGCGAGCAGCTCCCATTGGCCACAGAGCTGTCTCTGCCATCCAGACTTCTCTGCACCAGCTCTGCACCCGTGAGCACCCAGGGAGCACGGAAGGACGACCCGCGGTCCTCTGGGGAGCCTGGGCCCTCACAGGGCTGTGCGGGCTTGGGCAGCAGAGGCAGGGCCAAGAGGAACAGGGGTCCCCGCTCCCCAGAGCTTTCCCACGGTCGCCACGCCCCACACGGTCCCCATCAGACACACATGGCTGGAGGACTCACCATCGAAAAGTAGTTGCTGTTCACCATCAGCGGCCCGCGTCCACGCAGGTAGATGTATTCCTCCCACCAGTCCGTCACCTAGTGGGGCAGACGAGAGCCACAGGGGCACCGTGAGTGCTATGGGGCAGACGTTCGGCACCTAACAGGGCCAGTGCAGAAGATGGCCGCCCTGACGAGAGAGACTGTGGGCAGCGGGAAAGGAAGGGGAATTTGTTTTAACTAGAGACATAGCTATAAGGTTATTATAGATGGTTACAACAAAAAGGACCATATTTTTTTTTTTTTTTTTTTTTTGACAGGCAGAGTGGACAGTGAGAGAGAGAGAGACAGAGAGAAAGGTCTTCCTTTGCCATTGGTTCACCCTCCAATGGCCGCCGCAGCCGGCGCGTTGCGGCCAGCGCACCGCGCTGATCCGATGGCAGGAGCCAGGAGCCAGGTGCTTTTCCTGGTCTCCCATGGGGTGCAGGGCCCAAGCACCTGGGCCATCCTCCACTGCACTCCCTGGCCACAGCAGAGGGCTGGCCTGGAAGAGGGGCAACCGGGACAGAATCCGGCGCCCCGACCGGGACTAGAACCCGGTGTGCTGGCGCCGCTAGGCGGAGGATTAGCCTAGTGAGCTGCGGCGCCGGCCTAAAGGACCATATTTTTAAAAAATGATTTATTTATTTGAAAAGCTGAGTGACAGAGAGAGAGAGAGAGAGAGAGATATCCATCTTCCATCTGCTGGTTCACTCCCCAAACGGCTGCTATGGCCAAGTCAGGGCCAGGCCGAAGCCAGGAGACAAGAACTCTATCCTCATCTCCCACATGGGTTGTAGGGGCCAAGTACTTGGGCCACTGCCTGCTGTCTTCCCAGGCACGTTAGCAGGGAGCTGGATCAGAAGCAGAGCAGCTGGACTCTAACTGATACTCAGATATGGATGCCAGCATCATAAGCAGCTGTTTAACCTGCTGCGCCGAAATGCTGGCCCTGTACACATTTTATTTAAAAATTTTCACAATTTATCTTATTTATTTGACAGGCAAAGTGTGTGTGTGTGTGTGTGTATGAGAGAGAGAGAGAGACAGAGATCTTCCGTCTGCTGGTTCATTCCCCAAATAGCCAGAGGCCAGGGACCAGGAGCTTCATCACGTGGCTCGTCTTCAATTGCTTTCCCAGGCGCACTAGCAGAGAGCTGGATCAGAGGTGGAGCAGCCAGGATTCGAACTGGTGCCTTCATCGGATGCCAGCATTGCAGGTGTGGCTTACTGCTGTGCCGTAGCACCGGCCGCTGAACCAATGCCAGGGCTGGCGCTGCAGCACAGCAGGTAAAGCCACCACCTGCAATGCGGGTGCAATCCAGCTCTCTGCTGTGGCCTGAGAAAGCTGTGGGAAATGGCCCAGGTCCTCGGGCCCCTGCACTGATGCGGGACACCTGGATGAAGCTCCTGGCTCCTGGCTTCACATCAGTGCAGCTCTGGCCATTGCAACCATCTGGGGAGTGCACCAAGCAAGTGGAAGACCTCTCTCTCTCTCTCTCTCTCTGCCTCTGCCTCTCTGTAACTCTGCTTTTCAAATAAATTAAATAAATCTTCAAAAAAATGCCATCCACGCTGCTCCAGACGGGCTCTCCACTGCCCACTTCCCAGCGCCCTGAGAAAGCACCGTCTCACTCGACTTCTGCGGTTGGAGCCACGGCACTGGCCCGGAGGGCAGCACGGTCAGCTTCCCTCCCCAGCACGGACGGCCCGACCTCGCCCTGCCCACAGCCAGCTCTTCCTCACCGCGCCACCTGCCGCTGTCCTGGGAACCTTGGGAGCTCTGTGTTGGACACACAGGCGTCCAGAACCGTGTGTGGGGAGGGGGCTAAGTGTGCGGCCAGTCACTCTGGACAAACTCAGCACGCCCGCGTCACCAGCACCCGACCACAAACAGAACAGGGCCAGCCCGAGGCCTCGCACGCTCCCTCGGGCACTGCCCCCAACCGGGATGCCCACGTCCAGCGCCGCCTGCTGGCTTCACGGGGACGCGCGGAACACGCTCTCTCCTCAGGACCCAGCCCCCTGCTCTTCCCTCTCTGAAGGTGGAAGCTCAGCCAGGTCCCGGCCCCGCCCGCACCAGCTAACTCGTCTCCCAGGAGCTGACGCTGATGAGAGCCTGAGCCGAATCCAGCTCCACGGAGGCCACGGGCACCGCCCCCGCCCATACGACTGACCGCACCACGTCCCTGACCGGCGAGCCCAGAAACCATTCCCTGACACAAAGGAACCAGCCAGAGGAAGGAGCAGGGGCGGGGCGGCACGTTCACGACCGGACGGAGGGAAGCCGCGGTCTACAAGGCTCTGGAGCAAGATGCAGAGGAACCCCCCCACACACACACCCTCAGCACGTGCCTGGCGCAGGACCCCTGTGCTGGGTACAGCTGTCACCACGCCGCACCTCACTCCCGAGCACGAGCGCCCTGCGTGGGCAGCACCGTCCCCTCCCGCTCGCGGGTCCTCCCGGGCGACCGTGCCCAGCCCAATCTGTCATCTCAGCCGTTACCCTGGCCTCCAAGTAGCACTTTCGTCCCGAGAGGTGCCATCAAGAAGAGCCGTCGCAGACTCGTACTCACGTAATTTGTAGCCCACCAGGACTTGAGCTTCAGATACCACTGCAGCTTTGGCCCCAGATTGACAGCAAAGTCTTGGGCCAGCGCCGTCATCCTTTTAAAGTCCTGTTCCTTCATAAGCGGCCGCACGGACTCCAGGTACTGAGGTTGAGGGAAACACCACGTCAAAACATGTTCATCAAAGCCTACAGCTTTCTGTCCTGTGCCGTAGAAGAAATTCTAACATAGTCGCAAGATTTGACAACCTTCTCCATGTCGGTTTCAACAGTGTTTGGACAAGTTAACTCACCCCAGAGCTAAATGACGCTGTAGCTAATGCTAATTAAATCCTCACACTTCATCGTTTAGGGGCTTTAAAAGCGCTCTGGATCCTGCGTCAATCAGAAAGTCACCACAGTACAGTCTCCAGTATCCATTCACAAAGATAATGTAAGAGTGTCTCTGTTCTAATACTTGGCACTTAAAAAGTGTGTTTTCACCTAAGCTAGGCGACCTGAGATGGTGATACATCCAGGATGGGACAGGGCAGTGCCGGGAGCTGGTGCTGGGTCAGGCAGGTTCCCCACAGCAGGCCAGGGAGCAGGCATGATGGCAAGGGGAAGGTCATGACACCAGGCCAAGGCCAGGTGCAGGGCTGCAGGTTCAGGTCTTCACACTCCCTCCTTGACAAGCACTGCCGTGGTGGGTAGGCACCCAGGAAGCAGTTCACACGTGAGGCTTTTTAAAGGCACGGCGAAGCCTGTGACATGTACCTGTACGAGAACTTAGGGAGATAGCCCTGCCGTTCGTGCCAGGACTCCATGAAGCACTTCCATCTGACAAGGAGCCTTGGGAAGTGCTGGTCTCTGGGCCCTCCCTGCAGTTAGGGATAGGTTCCCATCCCCTACGAAGGAGCACCTGGCAAGTGTCCTGAGGCTGAACCACAGGACCCTCCCTTAAGGAAGCAGAAAGTCGTGCTCTGAACATGCAGGAGGAGCTGTGAGCTCAGCAGCACAGGCAGACACTCACTGAACATCTGGCTTTTTTTTTTTTCTTTGGGGGTTCGTGGTCTAACCAGTCCCAAGGCACAGGCGACAGCACCGAACAGCATAGATGGGAAGGAGCTCCCAAGGCCAATGGGAACTGAATAACCACATCAGGGCTCAAACCCTGAGCCTGAAGGTGGCCTGCATATAATTTTTCAAAAAGATGTATCTTCTTTATTTGAAAGGCAGAGTTACAGAGACAGAAAGGGAGAAACAGAGGTCATCCAAGTGCTGGTTCACTCCCCAAGTGGCTGCAGTGGCTGGGATGGCCAGGGCTGGGCCAGGCTGAACCCAGGAGCCAGAAGCCTCTTCCAAGTCTCCCACATGGATGGGTCCAAAGACTGGGGCCGTCTTCCGCTGCTTTCCCAGGTGCATTAGCAGGGAGCTGGATCAGAAGTGGGGCAGCAGGGACATGAACCACAGCCCATAAAGAATGTTGGTGCTAGAGGCAGTGGGTTTGTCTGCTATGCCACAGTGCTGGCAGCCTGTGTATAGCTTTTGAGCAGGGCCTCTGGCTGTTAGGTGCAATGGTTAAATCACTGCTTGGGATGCCTGCCCCACACTGGAGTGCCCTGGTTCGAGTCCAGGTTCTTCTGCTTCTGACCCAGCTTCTGCTGAAGAACACCGTGGAGACAGCAGATGATGACTCACATATTTGGATCCCTGCCACCCGTGCTGGAGACCAAGTTTAAGTTCTTGGCCCCTGGGTTAGGCTGGCCCAGCCCTGACTGTTGCAGCTTTTTGGGGAATGAACCAGTGGATGGGAGATCTCTGTCTGTTTCTCTGCCTTTCAAATACACTGAAAATAATACAAAATCTAAAAGAAGAAAATGAATTTTAAAAATTATAAAATGGTGCTGTGAAAAAACTGGAACCCTTAATCCATTGCTGGATTGCATGTAAAATGGTATTTGCTCAGTGAATGAAGCTGAACACAGAACTGCCGTGACCTGGTGCCTCCTGTGCGGGCGGCAGTGAGCGCCCAGCGCTGACACAAGGTGCCCAGAGGAAGCCCTGGGTGTGGGTGCTTGAGCAGCACCCCCCACAGGAGCCAAAGGGAGGAGCTCAGATGTTCTCGGACGGACGGACAACGATACATTCAGCCACACAAAGGGGAGCATGCCCAGGCTTACAGCCCTGAAAATTATAATGTCGAGTAAAAAAAGCACACATGAAATGTCCAGACAGGCAAACCCACAGAGAAAGGCGGTGGATTGCTGGTTGTCAGGGGCTGGGGCAGGGTGGGGGCAGTGGAACGGGGAGTGACTACCTAACGGGAATGGGGGTTTACATGATGAGAAAGTCCTGGCACTAGACAGTAGTGATAGTTGTACAACCCTAATATGTGCTTAATGCCAGTGAATTGTTTGTTTGAAAATGAGTGAAACCTGCGCCAGGAATATTTTCTCCCAATTGTACAAAGAAAGAAACAAAGAAATAGAGCCACTCCCTCCCTTTTTCTAAATGAAAAAAAGAAAGAAGTGGCTTTGAGGAGGAAACGAGCAACTGTGACAACGGCTGTTGTCAAAGTCTCAAGACAAGTTCTGACTTTGGAATGGGGGTGGTCACTCCCGCAGTCAGCTGTCCCAGTCAGCAGAGGCACACTGGCCTGGTGCCCTTAAAAAATCAGGTAAAAAACATCCACCACCCATCAACCCGGACAGGCGGTCTTTCCACACAGGAAACATTCAGCCACAAACAGGAATTCTGCCACACGCTGCAGGGAGCTGGAAGGAATGGCCTTGCAGAGGTCACACAAGGACGGATACCGGAGGATTCCAGCGACGGGAGGCAGCTAGAACAGGCAAATTCACCGAGAGGGAAAGCAGAGGAGAGGCAGCGGAGGCCCCGGGAGGGGAGGGGAGTTACTGTAGAGCTGCAGTCTGGGACAACACAAACATTTTGTAAATAATAGTGACAACGGCTGTATAACGCTATGAACATAATCAGTACCACTTGAACTGAAAATGGTTAGAATGATAAATTTCTTATTGGGTCTATATTTACCACATTTAAAACAGTGATGTAATACCCTGAAACTCACTGAGTTATGCACTCTAAATATGCAACTGTATGGTGTATAAATTATACCTCAATAAACTTGTTAAAAATAAAACTTTTGCCATGCAGTTTCTCTATAAAACATGATACCATTTTAAAAACACCAAATATACAGTAAGTGATGAATTAGGAAAAAAACTTTCTTTTAACAACTCTACAAGGTTCATTGCTAAGAGCTAACATAGCCAAATATAGAAAACAAACTGGTGGTCATGATGAAGACATGTGCCTTAATTCAAAAGACGGGTGAGACACCTACCCTGTGCACAGTGTCTTTCACGGCCGGGACAGGCAGGCGCGGCAGACAAGTCTGGAAACTGTACAGCGTGGGTTTCCGGCATGAAAGGACCTTGACCATAGCCTGAAAAAAAATGATGCTTTCAAAGGTGACAGGATGTTCAGGGTCTGGCTGTATAAAACTTGCTATTTTTTGTAAAGATTCATTTATTTATTTGAAAGTCAGAGTTACACAGAGAGGGTAGGAGAGGCAGAGAGAGAGAGAGAGAGAGAGAATGGTCTTCCATCTGCTGGTTCACTCCTCAATTGGCCACAATGGTAGAAGCTGCACCGATCCGAAGCCAGGAGCCAGGAGCTTCTTCCAGGTCTCCCATGCAGGGGCAGGGGCCATCTTCTGCTGCCTTCCCAGGCATAGCAGAGAGCTGGATTGGAAGTGGAGCAGCCGGGACTCAAACCAGCACCCATAGGGGATGCCGGCACTGCAGGCGGTGGCTTTACCGGCTACGCCACAGCGCCGGCCCTGTCAGTGCTCACTGACGTCACTAAGGACAAATGGTTGCTCTACTTCTAATGCAGCTCCTTGCTAACGGCCTGAAAAAGCAGTGGCAGATGGCCCAAGTTCCAGGACCCCTGCCACGCCCACGAGAGATCCAGAAGAAGCTCCTGGCTCCTGGCTGTGGCCTGGCCATCCCAGCCACTGCAGCCATCTGGGAGTGGACCAGCGATGGAAAATCTCTCTCTGTCTCTCCCTCTCTCTCTATAATCCTGTCTTTCAAATAAATAAAATAAGTCTTAAAAAATAAAAGAAAAACATTCTTTAGTCCTCGTGCAGGTTTCATGGTGAACCGAACCCCTCCGACAGTTGGAAGTCGACTGAAGTCAGAAACCACGTGTCCCGAGAACCACAAGGCCCCTGCTCTGAGCCTGAGAGCCAGCAGAGGGCGCAGGCGGACAGAAGGGTGACTGCGAAAGCTCCGCAGCTGGGAGGGCAGCTACGCGTCAGCAACTGTGAACACCACAGCAGCTACTAGAGGGCATCCAGATGTTCTCAGTACACTAGAAGATGACAGACTCTTCGGGATGCCTTATGACAGGACTGACAATTATGCTCCGAAAAGTGTTTCCATTTCATGTACATTTTCTAAATGATTGTCATAAAGTTGCACATAAAATCATATACTACTTATTGTTAAAGAAAGAATATTCTTAACATAAAGAAATGATAAATGTTTGAGACGATGGATATGCCACTGCCTTGCTCTAGTCAGGGAACAGACATACACATTCTGTATAAATATTGAAATGCCACTTTGTACCCCATAAATACGTGCGTACTTCAGAAAGCTCTGGGGAAATGGAATTAAAAGGTCATTTTTATTTTGGAACAGAAACTAAAATGCAGCCACAGTTTTGGCATAATGTCTGTTTTTCCCATGAACTTTTTAAAGCCCCCTGATACGCTGGATCTTGGGCCAATTAAATATTTTTCAAGCAGCAGACCGTGCCCGCCCAGCCCCACCCCGAGGGCGGCGCCTCACCATCCAGATCCTGGTGGCGCGACCCATTTTGCCGTGCTCGGCGAACATCCAGCCGTGGTAGGAGAGGAGCACCTTCAGGGAGCAGCGCATGGTGATGATGAGGGCCACCCAGAGGCCCGTGCCGAAGAGCACGCCGCTGACCGCGGTCTTCGTCTGGCTGGACATGCGGCCCCTGGGGAGACGAGTGAGACCCACGCACACTCCTCAGCAGGGAAGGGAGCCCGGGGCCGCTGCGTCACAGACCTCACGGCTGCCCCTGTCACGTAGCACTGTCCTTGGATTTTATTTATTTATTTATTTATTTATTTTTATTTTTTTATTTTTGACAGGCAGAGTGGACAGTGAGAGAGAGAGACAGAGAGAAAGGTCTTCCTTTTTGCCGTTGGTTCACCCTCCAATGGCCGCCGCGGCCAGCGCGCTGCGGCCGGCGCACCGCGCTGATCCGATGGCAGGAGCCAGGAGCCAGGTGCTTTTCCTGGTCTCCCATGGGGTGCAGGGCCCAAGCACCTGGGCCATCCTCCACTGCACTCCCGGGCCACAGCAGAGAGCTGGCCTGGAAGAGGGGCAACCGGGACAGAATCCGGCGCCCCAACCGGGACTAGAACCCGGTGTGCCGGCGCCGCTAGGCGGAGGATTAGCCTAGTGAGCCGCGGCGCCGGCTGTCCTTGGATTTTAAACCTTTGGGTAATCAATGTCCAACTTGTGCCTTCAGAAAGAACACCACTGTCCAACTCAAAGCTGCGTTAGACAGAGAGGCTGTGCCCTGTTTGATAGCTTTCTGATTCCCGATAAGAGACGCTCACTTCGGCGGGGCTGAGTGACTGGCCACATTTAGAAGGTGCTGGGAAAGAGCTCCGGCTCCTCTCCGAAGTGTGAAGTGCTTACTTGGGATGGCTGGGCGGTACCTGCTAGGAGTACCATCTTAATCAGAAACAACAGCCACTAGAAAAGCTTTACAGGGCATGTCCCAGCTCCAGTCCCCGTGCTCCGCCGCAATCCAGCTCCTTGCTAGCGCACCTGGGAAAGCAGTCAAGGAAGGCTCCAGCGCGTGGGCCCCTGCCGCCTCCAGTGAAAACCCATATGGAGTTTCGGGCTCCTGGTTTGTTGCAGACATTTAGGGAGTGAATCAGCAGACAGAAAATCAGTATCTTTCCCTTTCTCTGTGTCTCTGTGTCTCTGTCTCTCCCTCTCTGCAGTCCTGTCTTTCAAATTCACAGTCGAGGGCAATCTGCTTGTGTTTTGTCCTCAGGATGAAATTCACTCCTGAGCTATGAGGAGGTTTTCATTTGTTACACTTCAGCTAATTTATTTCTCACTCCTTTAGCACGGAACAAGCAGGAAGGGTTACAGGGATGCACCACTTCACTTGTAGCTTAGCCCTGACCCCGCACTGCCCCTTGCACGCGGAGTTCCTGGCCTGAAACACAAGGCACGATTCTGGGACCAGCATGGGGGGGGGGTACTTGTCCCATTGTCTGGGTCCTAAAATGTTCGTCAGTGAAAACAGCACACGACACTGGGACTGAGTATCTGGCATGGGACAGCTCGGCCATTGCGAGACACCGCGGCGTGTTCGACCAGGAGCCGAGCGTGCGGGGAAGCCCGAGGCGGCGGCCGCACGAGGTCCCTGGGCGCCCGGGTCCCACCGTCTGCTCACACGCTGCCCGTGTCCCAGGCAGGGCCCTACAGGGAGGCTCTGCGTGCACTGGACAAGCACAGACCCCAGAGCTGGAGCTGCTGGAGCTGCTGGAGCTGCTGGAGCCCCAGCTTCCCCGCCCCCTCCTGTGACCCCACCCCTCCTGTGACCCCACCCCTCCTCCTGTGACCCCGCCCCCTCCTCCTATGACCCCGCCCCTCCTCCTGTGACCCCGCCCCTCCTGTGACCCCCTCCTCCTGTGACCCCGCCCCTCCTGTGACCCCACCCCTCCTCCTGAGACCCCGCCCCTCCTCCTGTGACCCCGCCCTTCCTGTGACCCCGCCCCTCCTGTGACCCCCTCCTCCTGTGACCCCGCCCCTCCTGTGACCCCGCCCCTCCTGTGACCCCCTCCTCCTGTGACCCCGCCCCTCCTCCTGTGACCCCGCCCCTCCTGTGACCCCCTCCTCCTGTGACCCCGCCCCTCCTGTGATCCCACCCCTCCTCCTGAGACCCCGCCCCTCCTCCTGTGACCCCGCCCCTCCTCCTGTGACCCCGCCCCTCCTGTGACCCCGCCCCTCCTGTGACCCCCTCCTCCTGTGACCCCGCCCCTCCTGTGACCCCGCCCCTCCTCCTGAGACCCCGCCCCTCCTCCTGTGACCCCACCCCTCCTCCTGTGACCCCGCCCCTCCTGTGACCCCGCCCCTCCTCCTGTGACCCCACCCCTCCTCCTGTGACCCCGCCCCTCCTCCTGTGACCCCGCCCCTCCTCCTGTGACCTCGCCCCTCCTCCTGTGACCCCGCCCCTCCTCCTGAGACCCCGCCCCTCCTCCTGTGACCCCCCTCCTCCTGTGACCCCGCCCCTCCTCCTGTGACCCCCCTCCTCCTGTGACCCCGCCCCTCCTCCTGTGGCCCCGCCCCCTCTGCCTGTGACCCTGCTCCCTCCACCTGTGACCCCGCCCCTCCTCTGTGACCCTGCCCCTCCTCCTGTGACCCCGCCCCCTCCTCCTGTGACCCCGCCCCTCCTCCTGTGACCTCGCCCCTCCTCCTGTGAGCCACCCCTCCTCCTGTGATCCCCCTCCTCCTGTGACCCCGCCCCCTCTGCCTGTGACCCCGCCCCTCCTCTGTGACCCTGCCCCTCCTCCTGTGACCCCGCCCCCTCCTCCTGTGACCCTCCCTCCCCCCCCCCCCCCCCCCGCTCCTCCTGTGACCCCGCTCCTCCTGTGACCCCGCCAGGCACCTGCGCCTCCCCTCCCTGGAGCTTCCTCGCTGGCACTGGCAAGACCTCAATGACGTCACCGCAGCACAGGGTCTGATCCCCAGGTCCAAGGTGAGAGTCAGGGCCAACGTTTGGAGGGCAGGGAATAAGGGACACCAGAGGCACTCGGGAAACACATGCTGGGCGTTGCCCAGCTGCTCTCGGGAGTGCGCCCACCAGGAGCCCAGCACAGCCCGGGACCCCAGGGGCCAGCGCTGTGGAGGAGCAGGTGAAAGCCGCCGCCTGCAATGCCGGCACTGCACGGGGCACCGGTTTGTGTCCCAGCTGTGCCACTTGTGATCCAGCTCCCTGCAAATGGCCTGGGAAAGCAGTGGAAGATGGGCCCCTGCACCCAGGTGGGAGACCCGGAGGAAGCTCCTGGCTCCTGGCTTCGGATCGGCCCAGCTCCAGCTGTTGCAGCCACTGGGGAGGGAACCAGTGGATGAAAGATCTCTCTCTCTCTTTCCTCTTGCCTCTGCCTCTCTGTAACTCTGTCTTTCAAATAAATAAATAAATAAATAAATAAATAAATAAATAAATATTTTTTTAAATGACAGCTTAGTAACTTTCTCTATGTTTGGAGATTTGTCAAGACTACTCCACTTGGCTCCCAGGAAGGTGAACAAGACCATATCCTTGTCCCAAGAGTGTGGTGCAACTGAACTGGCTACGGGTCTTTCCAGACCTCGTCCTATGTATCTTTTCATCTGACTGTACATTTATGTCCTTTAAAATAGCCTTGAGGACAGACATTGTGGCATAGCAAGTTAAGCCATCACTTGGAACACCCACATAAAAATATTAGAGTGCCTGGCTCTAGTTTGGGCCACTTTGCAATTCTGATCCAGCTCCCTGCTAATGTGCTTAGGAGGCAAGGGATAATGCCCTAAATACTTAGGTTCCTGCCACCCACAAGTAAGACGAGGGTGGAATTTCTGGCTTCTGGTTTTGTCCTATCTCTGTCTGTTGGAGGCATCTGGGGAGTGAAGCAGCATATGGAAGATCTACCTCCCTCTCTCTATGTCCCTCTGCCTCTCAATTAAAAATAAATCCTTAAAAATAATAATAAAATATTCTTTATAATAAGCCAATAAACATTTTTTAAAAAGATCACTTACATCATGTCGAGGGTCTCACTGATTCTGGCAATGATTCCCAAGGAGGGGTCCATTTTGCCGTACGTTGAGGACATCACACCCACCACCACGATGAGCCAACTGGAGGGGCCTGCTGGGTACATGCTAGTGATGATGCCATTCTGGAAACAGACGAGAGAACTGTCGGCTATGTCCCCCCACAACCCACGCCGTGACCGCCCCCGCGGCCCTGGGGACTGAGCGGCTGGGGCACCGGGCAGTGGGGAACTAGGGGACCTCGCTGTCACCACTGGGAATCCTGCAGCGGTGCCAGCCACAGGCAGCCTCTTCCCTTCCTCCTCTAAGCCAAGGCCCCCCCGAGACAGCTCCCCGACATCGGATCACCCCCTGCACCGGTTTAACAGACTCCCGAGCTCCCCCGGACTAACACGGCGGAGTCCTCTCCCCAGCCTGCTCCATGGAGGGCGCCCTGAGACCTCGGCTCCCACCCTGCCTCTCCCTTCACTCCTGATCAAGACCCTGACGGACCCAAAGTATGTACAGGAGTCCTAACTCCATGTCAAGAATTGGCTGGAGGGGCTGGTGCTGTGGCATAGTGGGTTAAGCCTTTGCAGTACCAGTTCAAGTCCTGGTTGCTCTATTTCTGATCCAGCTCTCTGCCGTGGCCTGGGAAAGCAGTAGAAGACGTCCCAAGTCCCTGGGCCTCTGCACCCACGTGGGAGACTGGAGGAAGCTCCTGGCTCCTGGCTTCAGATCAGCCTAGCTCTGGCCATTGAGTCATTTGGAGAGTGAACCAACTGATAGAATATCTCTCTCTCTGCCTCTGCCTCTCAAATAAATAAATCCTAAAAAATTTTTTTTCTAGAAAATACTCTACCCTTTACACCACAAAAGGAGTGGGGGACAGAGACAAGAGTTCTATGAAATTGGGGCCGGCACTGCGGCTCACTAGGCTAATCCTCCGCCTGCGGCACCGGCACACCAGGTTCTAGTCCCAGTCGGGGCACCGGATTCTGTCCCGGTTGCCCCTCTTCCAGGCCAGCTCTCTGCTGTGGCCCGGGAGTGCAGTGGAGGATGGCCCAAGTGTTTGGGCCCTGCACCCCATGGGAGACCAGGAGAAGCACCTGGCTCCTGGCTTCGGATCAGCACAGCACGCCGGCCGCAGCGGCCATTGCGGGGTGAACCAATGGAAGGAAGACCTTTCTCTCTGTCTCCTCTCTCACTGTCTAACTCTGCCTGTCAAAAAAAAGAAAAAAGAAAGAAAGAAATTGGCAGTTTTGATAGCTATTAAAACTAGAAGACCAGCAATGGGGGATCATTATTCTATTCACTTTTTTTAAAGATTTATTTATTTATTTGAAAGCCATCCACCGCTGCAGTAGACTCGCTCACTGGCAACCATCAGCTGCACCCCAGGACACCCGTGCAGCAGAGCCGGCTCCCAGGACTCCTCTCCCTACTGCAGCTGCTTCTAAGCGCTCCTAACAGCCCTCTCCTTGGCTGTCTGGCAAGAGGGGCCTGGAGAACCCACAAACTGAATGGCAGCCCCCTCGGGAGGCTGGGTAGCTCTCACTTGACACTTGATGAGCGGATCTTAATTTTTCAAATGCACATCGATTCACACTTATTTGTTAATGCAAGTAAGACTCCCACTAAAACAAGGAAATAAATGGCCACCTCCGCAGGTGATCAGAACGGAGAAGAGGTGGAGGGGCGGAGCAGCACTGGACCACACAGACCGTTCACACGCTGGAGTAGTCCGCCAGCAAGGCAACTATGAAATCAAGCCGCCTAAGTTCGGGAAAAGTCCTTTTTGACAAGGAATCTAGGGTGCTAGTCTCCAGTCTCCTTTTGTAGGTTGGCTGCTTACCCTCAGAGCCCGTCTCCTTAGCTGTTCTACAGCATGCGAGCCGCTCTACCTGCCTCACCGGGTTTCTTCAAGAGCTCAGTGCGCCAGGACGCACGTGAGGCTGCTCCGTACGCCTGAGCACCAGGGATAGAGCTGCTGCCGTGCCGTCTGGGAGACACGAGACCCACTCCCAGGTGGCAAAGTATCTGCTGTACATGGACCTAAACAAGCATGGGAAAACCTTGAATCTCATGATCCTCTTTTTCCAGGAATGCAGTGCAGGGAGACGGATTTCCTGAAGGACTTCTCGGCTTCGATGCAGGTCCATGGCGTCCGCAGCGCCTGGGAGCTGAAGGCCGCAGCCAGGTGAGCCTCTGCCAGCTTCAGCGGTTACCTGGGGAGAAGTGGAAGCACATGACACAGCACAGCACTTCTCTAAGATTTATTTACTTCTTTGAAAGGCAGACTTACAGAGAGAGAGAGAGAGCTTCCATCTTCTGGTTCACCCCCGAGTGACCGCAATGACTGGGGCTGGGCCAGGCCGAAGTCAGGAGCTTCGTCCAGGTCTCTCCTCTGTGCACGGGCCCAAGGACGTGGGCCCTCTTCCACTGCTTTCTTGGTGCACATTAGCAGGGAGCTGGATCACAAGTGGCGCACTGGGGGCTTGAACCAGTGCCCATGGAGGATGCCAGTGCTACAGGCCATGGCTTAATCCACCGTGCCACAGCACTGGCGTCATGCGCTTTCCTAGATATTAGAAAATTTTTCATATAGAATTCATTTTAAGTTTTTTTCCCATTTAAGAGATTTAATGTTTTTCATTAAAATATTGGATTTGGGGGCCAGCGCTGTGGCACAGCAGGTAAAGTCACTGCCTGTGACAGCGGTAGTCCATATGGGCACCTGTTCACGTCCTGGCTCCTCCATTTTCAATCCAGCTTCCTTGCTGATACACGTGAGAAAGCAGTGCAAACTGGGCAAAGCCCTTGGGTCCCCTCCACCCATGTGGGAATTCTGGAAGAAGCTCCTGGCTCCCGCAGCCATCTGTGGGATGAACCAACAGAGGGAAGATCTCTCTGAGTGTCTCTCCCTCTCTCTCTGTAACTCCGACATTCAAATATATAAATAAACCTTCAAAAAGCTGGATGTGGATTTTTGTCACCATATTTTGCACCCTCTCCCCTGTCTAGCTGCTTCTGCTTAGAGGCTGGGATGACCACAGAGGCCACACCAGGGGAAATCACTACCCACTGGCCTGGTCAATCCCAGGCCACACCCAGCTGACCCAGGAAGTGACTAGCGGGCCTGAGACAAGTCCCAGTCTTCACAACAGCCCCTGGAGGCCGGCAGAGGGGACCCCAAAACATCCGCCAGTGAGTCCACACCGGCCGGAGGCCCTGACCTCCAGGTGTGCACAGCGGCCGCAGGCGTGCACTGGCGCTGCATTGAGAAACGAGGTCCGGCTCTCAGAGAGCAGCATACGGATCCAGGGCCCCCACGCACAGGCTGAGAGCTCCCAGGAGGGCCGAGCCTGCCTCCGCCAGAGGCTGAGTCTGCAGTCAAACCTGCTTGAGCGGGGCTGGCGCTGTGGTGAAGTGGGTTGACGCACTGGCCTGGAGCGCCAGCATCCCATATGGGCGCCAGTTTGAGACCCAGCTACTCCACTTCCGATCTAGCTCTCTGCTGTGGCCTGGGAAAGCACTGGAAGATGGCCCAAGACCTTGGGCCCCTGCACCCGCATGGGAGACCTGGAGGAAGCACCTGGCTCCTGGCTTCAGCTGCTCACCGCCCATCTCCACTCAGCTCGCCCCAGCAGCCAACAGCGCAGGCCCAGGGGCTCCAAGAAGGTGGCTGCTCGTGCCAGTCCTTCCCGCTGTGTTAGAACCTGCCCGTTTTCTGCCACAGCAAGGCCTGAGACAGGCCCAGCCTGCCTGGAGGCACCTGCCCCTCCTCTCTCCTCTGGCCACCTCTCGGTGAGGGCGGGAGGCCACGGGCACCTGCGTGTTCTGACTCCAACCCTCCCGCTTGGCAGGACTCCTGGCGTCCCACAGCACTGCTCCCGTGTGCTGGCGCGGCACAGCTGGGAGTCCCGGTGGCTGGGAGAGGAAGGGCCCGCGGGCCAGCTGTGTGGGCTCCAGCTGGCAGGCCGGGCCCGGGTCTGGATCCCGGCCACCTCGTGCTGGGCGGCCTCTCCCTACCCTCAGCCTTCCAGAGGCCGCCGCAAGCAGGGCGGCACAAGGCACCGCAGGGGCTCGGGGCTGGGCGAGCACCAGTCCCTCACCTCCACAGGCAGCTGGGGGCAATGCCACATCCCCAGCACACCGCGTAAGGAACCACTGGTCTCTGCGGAGCAGCCCCACTGCCCGGTCAGCAGGCACACCTGCTGCGGCCCCTCACCCCGTGCTTCTGAGCTGCTGGGCAGCTCCATCCTGCTCCCCAGCCCCCAGCAGTCTGCCCGGCCCAGGCCCTGCCCAGGGCTTTCACTGCAACCTGTGCACACGACCCCTGCTTTCAAACTCTCTGCTATGCTGAATGATACAAGCCGGGTATCACCCTGGCCCCTTCTCCATATGCCTGTGCCCTCCTCCCACCAGTCTCTTTAGACCACTGCCAGCACTAGCCTTGCCCGGGCATCAACAGACCAGAGCTGCTCTTGGGCCATGCCCCACCGCTGCTCATGTGGGCAGGCATGCTGCCCCGCCTGGGCTCGTTCTGCTCACAGCTGTCCACCAGCAGCAGCCTGGCCCTCACGCCTCTCCCAGCTCTCCCTCTTCTACCCACTCCCAAACAGGAGCGCGCGCGTGCACGCGCACACGTACACACACACACACACACACACCTCATGAGCCCCCCTCAGTTGCTCTCTAATCTACATCACCCCCAGGGTGCCCAGAATCTGAGGCACACCACAGCCCAAGGCGGAGAAAAAGTCCTGGCTCCTGCCACGAAGTTTGCACAGCACGACCGCTGGGTTCTAACCTGCGCGGCAGAGTGTGCACCCGCGCCCAGGCCCAGGATGCCTGGAGCAGAGGACGCAAATGCTGCACCAGAGACGCGGCCGAGGGAAGAGGAAGAGAGCTGAGAACGAGCAAGCAGACGTGGGTGGACAGGGGGCTCACCCTCTCCCTGTCACTCACTCGGTCCCTGCCCCAGCCCCCGACCTCTGGACCGCAGCTCTGCGCAGAGCGAACTGGCTGCAGAGGGCTCACCTCCGGTCAGCAGCCCGGCTGCTCCTCCCCTACAAGCAGTTCTGGGTGAGTGACAGAACGGACCCCTGGGGACGTCCCTCAGGCAAGGCCGCTCTGAGTCCTCGGGTCAGCTCTGGAAAACCAGAGGGGTCACTGTGGCAGCAACCTGCTGGCTGCTGGGGGACGTCCAGCATTGTATGGAGTGTGCCAAGGCCAACATGCCCTCTGTCCCCGTGGACCAGCACTGCCCGGAGCATGGATGTGTTCATTGTCAGGGAAAACACACAAGTCATTTCTGAGAAGCAAGCATGGTGGCCTGGAGCCCGACTTCACCTCTAACCCCAGTGGACATGAGCCCTGGCTGCTGGCTCGGGTAGGGATCACCCACAGACCTCTCTGCCTGAAACCACTCAGGGCTCTGCCACCCCAGGGAGCATCAGAACCCTTCAGGAGTCCTGGGATGAGCTAGAATGGTGGCGGCAGGTTAAGCTGCATCCCAGATGCAGCCCCGTATACATTCTGAAGACTCTGTTTCTGCTGCAGCTCCCTTCTAATGTGCCTGGAAAGCTGGGAGTCACACCCCAAGTACGTGGGCCCCACCACGCTGCAGGAGGCCTGGCTGGAGTATCCAGCTCCTGACTTCGCTCTGTCCAGTCCCTCTGTTGCAATCACTGGGGGAATGAAC